AAATAGTAACGAAAAGACCAGGGGGGACCGGCTGAAGCAAAGAGGAAGACCGATTCTTTGCGAGAAAACGAAGAAGCAACGACGAAAGTGGTACGAATCAGCACCAAGTAACGAAAGTAATGACAGACACGTCGCAATATATCACACAAAGACTCGAGAGATACACCGAATACATAAAATTTACATACTAAGTACAGTAGGGGGAAGAAAAGATAAGAAACCATACGATCTGTATCGCTGCGCGCAAGATCGCGGCGGACAACACAAAACGGCATTACACGATCAAGAGTTTCAGAATATTTATTTAATTGCTATACAATTACAGATACAAGTATATAAGAAACGACTATAATAAGTAGTACGTAGCAAGTACATCTCGTAAATATCCTCTGCCGTTCTCGTCGAGCTTGGTTTACTTTCTCGTCGATTCCCATATTGCTCGATCATCATCGAACAAGATGCGCGATCTGTGAAACGTTGAAAAGAGCTTCTCGAGATCGGCAGATATACTGTAACATATTGAACGTCGACACGGAATGCTGGAAAATCACCGGTCTTGTTTCCCCTTTTCTTACTTTTCCTTTTTTCATTTTATCTTCGCAATCGCAAATTCGTTTTCTTTCGACCAGGTCTTCTTCTAACGAAACTCACGTGTACGTGAGATACAAGAAGAAGAATCGATCATGCGCGTTGAACACTTTTCCTCTTTTCCACTGAAACACTATTTACGCAGGAAATTAAAATATTCCCAATCGTAGAGATTTTGTAAACTCGTGCAGAGATTGAGAGGGGCGAAGGATTAAATGATTCTTATCTTAATGATTCGAACCTTGGAAAACCTTAAAACTTATTTCTTCCTCTTTCGTACAATTCGCTATCTTTAAGTGGAAAAGTTAATTGGCAATTATATAAAATGTATTTTTAGAAATAAAAATGTCTAACAGCACCATCGATAAATAACGAAAAAATATAGCCATACATATAACAATTTCACGAGTATAAATATACAAAATATCGAGCATCCACGGTAATTATCACGTGAATAATGTTTACAGATGTCGTTTAGAGACAAGTACAAGTGAATTAATCGCGAAGAAAAATGTTAATAAAGAAAGTATATAATTGCACATCAGTTTGTACGAATCTACAAATTGTTCGTGAAATCGAATGATTTTTAGATGCATATTTCGCGTACGAAATACTGTGTCGCTAAAAACAATGAATTTTGATTCAAGTATGATTTGGGTGACATTCGTTAATCGTAATACACATTATTTTAAAGAAGGAAAGTACTGACATTTTTCTTAGCGAAAACTTGGCACAATCGTCATAACAACCTAATTAACAAGCAACCAGTGCTTTTCACGCATTCCGCGATTTGATGTACGCGTATGGACACGGCGTATGATGACATGCTGTGTACGGTCAGATTTTAAGGCTGTGTGGTCAATAAAATATTGGAATGAAATTAATCGATAGAGTTTTTTCTCAAAATCACCCTCTATGTTTAAGTCATTCAGTCTTCTTCCTGATAAAAGAGAGGACAATAAACACCAACACGTACACAGTTATAAAAATATTTTATTAATAAAAGTAAATTTCGTTCACAGTTTCATTCGGGCGGAATATAAAAATGCGTCGATAGGAATGAATAAAGTATGCGTTACAAAGTATCAAATTACGTGTGTAAGTGTAACGTTACAGGCACACAGTCATCTTTTCTACACAAATTGTATACAGTAGCGAATTAGGTAATTACGTAAAAAATTATGAATAATTGAGACTTCTTTTTTACACATAACTCTGATTTTTTTCTAAACAAATGAGCTATGTTTGGCTTACGCGGGCATAATCGCAGCGCTATTTATGTACAAATATGAACACTTTTGCATAGATACTAATTAACACATCTCGTAACAGTGGTCATTATGTTAATAATTTTCTCTCCTACTTGTTTGAAACCTAAAATAACAACCTAAAATTTTGTTTAGTATATGTATACATTTTTAAATAATATTAGAATATTAAACTGTACAGTAACGAGAAAGCAAAAGTTACGAAGAACCTCGGAAATTTTTGACTAGTAACTAGTTTTTAATGTTATTTATAACGAAATGCGTTAACGTAAAAACAATTTCGGGAAAATAGAACTATGTACAACAGAAAATATATATGCATTCTCTCAAATGTAAAGAAACAAATAAAGATGTAAATTAATGAAGTAAGCGCGATGCTTTTGGTTCAATTTTGTACTGAACAATTAAAATATATATAGTTCAGTCGTTCTCGGAATAGTTACTACTACTATTGTCCGTCTCAGGATTTGTCCTTGTTACAAGTCTAAAGAGTTAGACAAACGTACATCAACAAAGGTAAAGCTAAATTATCAACTTGGTTCGTGTGCGCTTCGATAAGCGACACGACAACGCTAAATAATATGCTTCTCAAAAATAACCAACCACTATTTACATAACCTATTCGAAAAAATTTACATTAATTTTATCAGAGGTAACATGTAATCGAAAAATGGCAGATAGCAATATAATAATTACATACCCATAGATGTTAAAATACATATTAATCCAACTTGGCTGAAAATACAACCGATCGTTCCTTCGATCGTTTTATTCGAATTAGTCCATTTGTGAGAACCCCATTTATTACCAACAAAGCTAGCAACAGTGTCACCTACTCCAACTGTCAGGACACCACTGAGCAAAGCTAATAATGGAACGTTATTGGTAGGCATCCAAAGTGGGAAAGATAAACCACAGAGTAAATATAAAGGTGTCAAAGAAATAAGACTATCTTTTTCATCTACAAATACTGAAAATCCTTGTTGTAATGCCTCTCCAAGAGGTGGTATTCTCAAACACCGTATCAGCTAAAAATAAATGGTAATCATAGCAATTGTTTAACACCCACTCCTATACAAGTACAGTGTGCATGTGTAATCTCTTGTAATTAAAAAAAAGTTTTTATTCAAAGTAATGTACCTCAAGAAATACAAATAATCCCATTACCATACCACTAGCAAGATACAGGAATATTTGTTCATACATTAAACCAGGTATATATACAAGTACAGCTAATAAGTGGAAAATTTTTCTAGTAGAAGTTGTTGCATGAATATTTAATAATGTCTGGTATCCAATAGCAATTATGCCAAGAGATAGACATACAGCCCAGTAACCAATTAAAATGGTCTGTAATATTTAAAGACATTAGAAATAATTTTACATTTATGTGACAAATAATAAGAATTATCATAAAAACATACCTTACTTGCTTTACTGAAAATAAATGAAAGTAACCACACTATAGGATTTTGATCCAGCATAATATATATTAATGGCAAATATATGATTAATAACAAAGTGATTGTCATTATGTAAAAGCATTTAGTTGAACGAAATGTTTTGAAGTATCCAGATATTATGCAAACTGATATTACATATAGCATTGCAACCTAAAATTATTTACTAATTAACAATTAAGTATATACAATTAATTATGTCTGAAAAATTCCCTTTGAGTACCTGTACTAAAACTGTAGCAATATCATCATCATGAATTGGTGGTAAATGATACCGTAATGGCAAATTTGTTACAACAGACATTAGGAAAAGAATGCAACCATGTATCACTGCTGTTGCCTCTCCAAGTGTAAAACAACCAGGAAATATTGACATCAATTGCAGAACACCCCATGTACCTAAACTTGCTACACTTAAGCCCCATGTCACACTCACTAGTAATCCTGCTCTTATTTATTACCATAAAAATTTAATTAAAATAGTACATATAAATGATTTTTTATTAATAAATAATTTGTAAGTTGGTATACCTTTATTTGCTATTAGAAGATACAACATGGATGTTATTAGAGCTGGTAAAAAATATATTACTTGAAAATCTCTGACTGCAACTTGTTCTGTTGACAATCTTAAATATAAACATGTACAACTAATGAGAAGACCGATGCCTGTAAGGCCTGAAATGAGGCAAATTTCAGAGTAACTGGCATCTTCTTTCAGGATAGTTAAAATTGCACTTAAGCCTACTAATATTCCAAGCCATAATCCGCTATTAGCTTTTATCCTGAAAATATTTTTTGAAATCTTTAAATGCAAATTAATATAATTTATCTGACATGATAATTTAAGACTATCATATAGTTCATTCAGGTTCATTCTTTACAAACATACTTTTATTATAATAAGCACTGCAAGAAAATTATAAATATTGTTTTTAAAGGATCATGTGTTTCATATTACATTACAAATATTGACAATCTAAACGAATTTATTTAATATTATTTACATACATAGTACAGTATCAAACATTTAGTAAGAATGTATCAAATCATGAGTATCTAAAAAATAAACTTTATTTGTTAACTAAACTACAAGGTTTTTCAATTTATCTCATTGAAAAGTGAATAATGTTTGCTATAAAAAATACACATTCACGAGCATAAAACGTAAATACTACAAATAAGAACATTTTAATAAATTTCTAGGTTAGGTCACGTCGCTCTTTACATTCATGCAAATTGAGTCCACGTACCGATGTTCTATGCCATTATTTTTCAAGCTCTGTAATATTCTTTCTTCAAAGTACTCGTACTTTTTTATTAAAACTTCCATTGTTGATAGAACACGAAACACGTTTTTACACCATCAATAACCACACCTTCTCACTCTTCCCGTGGAAAATAGTGGGAAATGGGCGTTAGTCGCAAAAAGGTCACTCTTTTTCCGTCGTATCTCTTGTTCTTGCGCACATGTTGAATACGTAATGCACAAGTGAATAATGAAAGCGTAATTCAAACCAATTCAGACGCACTCGTTAATGAATTCTTCTGTTATTGATATTATGTAGCATCTACAATATATACCAACTTTAAAAATGCAACATAAAATAAACAACAAACACAAATGCGATAATAATACAAGAAATATAAAAATCAAAGTAGCAATGTAAACAGAACGATAAGAAACGTTGTGCATATATTATTTATTAAATATTTATAAAAACAATATAATAATAAGTAGCATAAAAGCAAAACAATATTATTCCACTCAACAATTGTTGTATATATTATATACTATGTAACAACTTATAATTGCGATATATAAATCATTAAAATCAGTAAAATTTAACGCCAAGAACATCGTTTTCATCTGAAATTACGTTTTTTTTTTTAGATATTTGCGATCATCTACATGTACATTCTAATAATCCGCACATTAACGTAACCTTAAATAGAATTCTTAATTACTAAATTGTTCTCTCATATAATTTCATATGATTCAAGATCTGTTGCTTTTGACAAATGCAATCAATCCATTTGTTGATGAGTCGTGGCTTGTAATTGCTGCACCGGTTTCCAATTCAGGTTCGATTACTTTCGCCAACTGTTTTCCCAATTCAACGCTATTGGAATAAGATTCATTAATAAATACATTTGATTTTGATTTATTTTTATCGTCGGTCACCGATGACTGGCGCGGCGTGAACTGAACGTTAAGCATTGGTCACCGGTGACCGATGCGGCGTGAACGGAACGTTTAGCATTGGTCATCAAAGATTCGGCGTAAACATAGAATGCTGAGTCAGACGTAATAAAATTCTGTATTACGCCGTGTCGATTTTTATCATAATACAAAACATAGGCCAATATAAGAAAAAAAATGTCGTCGGAAGAAAGTAGCGATTTGAGTGATTCATCATGTGAAATGTATTTGTTATTGTCAAAACGTCGTAAAATATCGTCTGATGACGAAAGGGAAAGTGATTACGAAGATAGTAGTTCTGATAACTGTAATCGTAACGCTATTAATGAAGAATGGTTCGATCCTGTTGAAAAAAAACCTCGTCTGAAACCTTTTCTATATACAACAGGCATCGACACATCCAATAGTAAAGTTTTAACATGCCAAGAACCAATCGATTTTTATTCGTTATTGGTCACAGATGAAATATTTGAAACCATAGCATGTCAGACAAATTTGTACGCGAACGAAGTACTAACAAGCAATAAATCGAATCGTCTGAGTGCCTGGTATTCAACAGACAAATGTGAAATTAAAAGATTTTTTGGTTTAATTATGTGGATGGGTCTTGTAAAGCTGCCAACTGTACATTTGTATTGGTCAAAAGATGTATGTTTTGAACAGAGTTTTCCGCGCGCTATAATGTCTCGAAATAGATTCGAAATGTTACTACGGATGATCCAGTTTGCCGAAAACAAACAAGTCGACGAACCAGAGAACCAATTACTTAAAATAAAAGAGTTAATCGACGCATTGAATACAAATTTTAAAGAATATTTTACTCCAGGTGAAATCGTTTGCGTAAGTGAATCGATAATTCCATTCCATGGTCGGATTATATATAGGCAACATATAAAAGATAAGCAGTATAGACATGGGATTAAATTGATCAAATTATGCACTACATCGGGATATACATATAGTTTACAAGTACATCCTGGAAAAACTAGTACGAGACAAAATACAATTGCCACGAGTATTGTAATGTCTTTATGTGAAAATATAATAGGCAAAGGACACGTACTGTGTACAGATAATTGTTACATAAATATTGACTTGGCTAAAAAATTAATCGAGGTCGACACTTACTTGATCGGAACGCTAAGAACTACTTATCGTAGTATTCCTACGGAAATGAAATCGAAGATTTTAAAACCAGGCGAAATAATTGTAAAAGAGAATAAAGATGGAATTATTATTTTCAAATTAAAAGATAAAGAGGAAGTATATATTCTTTCTACGAAACATTCGACTGAAATGGTCGCCACAACAAGACATGGCAATTCATATTTGAAACCAAAAATTATTATAGATTACAACGAAGGGAAGTCGTACATTGATCAGTCAAACCAGATGTCGTCACATATCAATGAATTACGAAAAACAATTAAGTGGTACAAAAGGCTGGCATTCGAAGTTTTATTGAATACATCGGTAGTTAATGCGATGATAATGTTTAATAGCAAGAAAAATACACGTATATCGTGTTTGGATTTTAAAAGAAAAATAGTTATGTGCTTGACTGCACGTACGGATCAGGATGTTTTACCTTCACCTTCAACGAATGCGACGGTAAAACGTCACGAAATGGAAACCAAGGAAGGAAAAGCGTGGCGGGCAAGACGACAATGTAGACGATGTTACGAAGAAAATGTAAAGAAGTTTGGAAGACAATTCGCGAAAAACAGATCGGTGAAAGTTGTAACATTTTGTAAAGATTGTGATGGCATGCCTCATTATTGTTTGCCGTGTTTCAACATCATACACCGAAACATGTCTAATTAAAAATGTGTTTAATATGTTTATAAAAATATTATAGGTCTTCATTTTTAATCATTTTGAATATGTATGTGTCATAAATATATGAGTTTATAAAGAAGTTTTGATGAAGGTAAATGTATAACAAGTAAGATTTGTACTTACCCCCATTGATCAAACGAATTGATATCCCACATAATGCCTTGTACGAAAATCTTATGCTCGTACATCGCTTTAAAAATAAGACACGTATACATAATTAAACTAAATAACATATTTAAATTAAATGGGGTATTAAATTTACCAATTAAAGCTCCAAGAGTAAAAGGTGTTACTTTCTTCACGAGAATACTATTGGTAGGTCTGTTTCCTTGGAACATCTTGTGCGGCAATAATAGATTCACTTGCTCGGGACTCATTCCTGCCTTCTGTAATTCAGCTCGTGCTTCATCCTCATTTTTACCCTTCATTAAAGCTTCAGTTTGTGCAAAGAAGTTGGCAAGTAATATTTTGTGATGAAGAGTTCCTTGGACCTGAAATGATATTTCTCTACGTTATTGCATCATCTTATATTAAAATAAAGAAAATAGTTTTAAATAAAAATTAATTTATTTATTAACTGTAACGGTACCTGATTGTGCGATTGTACTGGAATTATAAAATCACCAGGTACGAGTCTAGTACCTTGATGTAGTAACTGATAAAATGCATGTTGTCCGTTGGTACCGGGTTCTCCCCATACGATCGGACCTTCAATTTGGAATTTTTAACATTTCAAATATTATAGTAAAATCATAGAATTTTTTTTTCAAATATTCACCTGTATTATAAGTTACAGTTTTTCCTGCGCGAGTAACGTATTTCCCATTACTCTCCATGTCACCCTGTTGGAAATATGCAGCAAACCTATGCAAATACTGATCATATGGCAATAATGCGTGCGTTTCAGCTTTATAGAAATTGTGATACCATACACCGAGTAAAGCTAATATAACTGGTGCCTGAAAAGTAATATTTCATTGAACGTATAGTATTTCAACGGTAATGGTAATAATTAAAGTGTGCGCACATTTTTTTCTAATGGAGCAGAACAGAAATGTTGATCCATGAAGTGTGCTCCACTTAATAGTTTTTCGAAATTTTCAAAGCCGATGGACAAGCTGATCGATAAACCAATAGCCGACCATAAAGAATAACGTCCTCCAACCCAATCCCAAAATCCAAACATATTTTTTTCGTCGATACCAAATTCTTTGACTTTCTGATTATTAGTAGATAATGCTACGAAATGACATGCAACTGCCGCATCCTAAAGAACATAGATTTCGTAATTAAATATTTGTTTTTGTACGCGTAGTCTATTTAAAAACTATTACTTTTACTTCTCACTAACATTTTTCAAAGCATCCAAAAGCCATAATTTAGCAGAGGTAGCGTTTGTAATTGTTTCCTGAGTAGTGAATGTTTTTGATGCAATTATGAAGAGAGTAGTTTCCGGATTCAATTTTTTTAGAGTTTCAGCTATATGAGTTCCATCTATGTTACTAACAAAATGAACTCTAGGCCCAATATGATATGCTTTCAATGCTTCTGTCACCATCAATGGACCCAAATCTGAACCACCTATTCCAATATTAACAACATCTTCAATTGATTTGCCAGTGAAACCTTTCCATTTTTTTGAGAGGACCTTTAACACAAAGAGCATTTATTAAATGAAAAATAATTGTTCATTAATAGTAGCACGATTTTGTATTTAAAAATAATATACTTCATTAGTAAATTCTTTCATGTGTTCCAATACAGCATTCACATCTGGCATCACATCTTTATTATCAACCATTATAGGTCTGTTAGATCTGTTACGCAAAGCAATGTGTAGAACTGCTCTGTTTTCAGTGAAATTAATCTTTTCTCCTTTGAACATAGCATCTCTTGCATCTTCTATCTCTCGTTCGCGTGCCTATAAACAAATACAATAATTATTATTAAAATTGATTATGCAATCTTTTTTTTATGATTAATAAAATTTTAATATTCATATAATTTCAAAATACATACAAGGTCCAGTAGTAACTTAAATGCTTCTTCAGTGAGACGATTTTTGGAGTAATCAAGTAAAATTGGACCATCGTTAGGAGTTGGAATTTCTAGACTACATAACATATGAAATATTAGTAAAAGTCATTATATTGAATTAAAATTATGTTTCTTCAATGTAGGTAAAAAAGATTTTATTGCAATTGTTTAATTGACGTTCATTTGAATTTTTCGAGATTCGAAATAAAAAAGAATTTAAAAGAAAACTATTGCAAGTCAGGTAATTAAGGTATTACACAATATATACGAACTAAAAAAAAAAAAAATGGAGAAGTCAGTTATTTTAATTCTACAAATGGACAATACAGACAGAAAAATTATTATTATAACAATGTAAATTTAGTTGTCGGTGAACAAACTTGGAAAGGTCAAGTCAAGGTCATATGTCAAGGACTGACGAAAGCTTACCTGAACTTTTCGAAACGTTTAGGATCTTGTTGAAAAAGATCGTATATTTTGATTGTCGATCCATTTGCGTCGAAATATTGTTGCAATTTAACCCACGTTGACACAGTTGTCAGTTCTGGTTTCGGCTTCATTTTTAATTTAAGGAAACCGCGTTCAAATTCGCAAGATTCAACTCTGTACTCCTCGTGCGAAGACCAGTTACGACTCACGTATGTTACACACAAGAGACGTGCCAACCTGCCAACATATTATCTTTCAAGCCGCTTCTCAATGGAATCATTTATCAATGACTGTCGTAACTACTCTCATAAAAACACTAACCGAAACATGTCACGAAAGCAGAATATTCAACAAAATTTGACTAAGGAGGAATGAATTTTCGAGCATCTTATTTCAATTCAAACATACTTGTTTCAAATTGAAGACAATGTACAGAGTGTTTAAAATATTACAATTTCAAATGAATTGAATGTGATCAGCTGATACAAGATGGCGTTTGTTGGCGCCAAATATGCATAAATGAATAGAAATTCATAGAAATATTAGATGACTTGAACCTAAACATAAACGAGGTGATTGATATTTCTTTACTCTTCTTACTCCATGATAGTTGCTGCTACATCGATAATATAGTTTTTGTGTTAGAAAACACTATTCGATGTTAGGTCTGTCTTGTATACCATCTATGATTTTATTTCTGACTTGCACATGTAAAACGTCAAGTTGTATTTCGATGAGTTTTCGAACGTAGTGCATAACATTGTGAATTCTATAAAGTGACTTTTGCTTTTTGTAGAAACTGGAATTACATACACCTCAGAAATAATGGTAATAAATAATATTGATTGTAATTGTTTCCTAACTATTAAAGAAAGTTCAATAAAATAATTGTAACAATTGCATATTTAGGAAGTGTACTCTTCTTTCTGAATAAGGTTATGTGAATAGAAATGTTTGCAGTATTATATTTTACGAGTTAAGGGAAATAATTATAAGTTAAAGACCAATTGTATTTTATAATGCGATATATTCGAATATTATTGAATTTTAGAGTTTTGGGTTACCATCGATCGTTCCAAAACCAACTGTCAGTGATGAGTTCAACATTCACAATGATAATTATGGTGTACCTAATCCTATGGTTTCAGGGTATGAATTAATAGATGATTAAATATTATCATTAAGAAACAAGTTTCTTTATGTGAACTTTTAAACTTATTATTCCATTTTTATTTTTCAGATTATCAGCAACTAGGCAAAGTATAGGTTATTCTCATCCTATAGAAGCATCTGAAAGAAATGTAAGCATGTGCAGTTAAAAATTACGATAATTTTGTTAATATCTTATGCATTTATTGCATTTTGCAGTATCAACAAAATCGCGATCGTATGAATATGATATTGCTTAGAAATACACAAGGGATACATGCTCCAATGCGTTTAGCAATGGAGTTAAAAGCCACAGAAAGTATTGGTAGACTTCCATTTTTACCATCATCAAATATGATGAGAGATGTTTTACTTGGACGGGATGAGGAAATAGGGTAAACTGTTTTATTAATTACCATTAAAACATTCATTCATAATACTTTGCTTTTTGTATCTTTAGGTTTGAAGATGTGCTCAACACACCTGAATTCAGAGAACAAATGGGTCAGCCTCATGCAGTTATTGAAAAAAGTCTTGGAATATTATAAATAAATCTTAATTTAACATTTTTATTATTGTCTCTGTATTATTGAATACATCAAGTAATAAATGTTTACATCTTACATTTTCGTAACATATTCTAAAAAACATATTATCACACATCTGACCATATGAGATCATCTATTCTATTATTACATATTTTCTTAACTTCATGAATACCAACATTCAATTCATTGTGTCTTGTATTTTGCAAACGAATTTGTATTGATGAAAGAATTGTTTGTACTTCATTTTTACTAATGCATATTATAAATGGAAAACGGAATTTTTCCTTGTACCTACAATAGCAATAGTATGTCATATTTGCTGATTCCTTATTCACGCATCATCTGATTTAATTTTTTTTATTTTACTTACAAGTTATTATAACTACCTAATAACTGTTTTTCTTCCTTTGACATAATTTGAAGTGGTACATTTTCTCGTTCGAATTCGGAATCAATTGTAGCTAACCCTTCCGCATATTTTCCCGGTAAATCTGGATATCTGAGTAATACATTTTCCTTTCCTAAAAATTAATATTACGAAAAGTTATTATTCTCTCGAAGTACTGTCTTGTAAAGGAAAAATTATATAAATTACCATTACTATCTAATTTTTCCAGGTATTCATAAAACGAATTTTTGAGATGTCTAACTGATGTAAATGGCCTCATAGATGCTACCTGTTGTGCAGCATTTGGATGATGTTCCACCACATTTCCAAAAAGCCATTCAAATTGCTCAGGAGACAAAGCATTTACTTCTGATATACTTAAAATCCCTCTTAAATACATAACTATTTAAAAGAACAAAATGTCTATGAATGAAGCTTTACCTTCGAATATCCACGTAGAATAGATTCAAATTCCTTTCTAGCGAATATTAATTATGTAAATGTTATATTTCTACACTTTTTAATTACGATTCTAAGTTTAAATATGTTAAAATAATTCGATAAAAACTTCTGTACAGAGCTCTTACTATACAACTTGCAAGTATCGTTCTGTTTGTTCGACGAGACTTAAACATCTATAAATTTCATCAGAAAGAAACGCAAAAGCAAAGTTCATAAGATTATCAGTAACCAATTTTGCGCGTTTAGATTTAGTCGGGTTACAGGTACTTGTTAACTTTCCAGAAATTTAAAACGAAGCATACGTCAATCATTTTTCGCGCGATCTAAATTCTTTACTACTGTACGAATGTGTTGTGTTACGTACGAATAATATTCATTTGTGAACAATAATTTTTGAAAAAAAAATAGGAAACGATGTTTTCTTCAGAGAACGATAAACATTCGAGTCTACAAATAATGTATTAAGGTTATCGTAATCAATTTACGAACGGGTGATACGAGATTGTCGTGTCACCGGTTTAGTTTCATCGTGAGAATTATTTACATCGTGAGTACCAAGTCAGTTCGAATATCTACATTGTACGTGTTTAAATGTTGATTTCGATTTTGAATTTTTGATAAAAAAGATAAGTACTTTTAGTAGAACGTTGGATTTAGAAAAATATTAAAAGAAATGGTGAATGTTAAGATATTGGACGGTGGATTTTCGGCGCAATTATCTACTCATGTCGGTGCGAAGATCGACGGTGATCCATTGTGGACAGCGCGATTTTTAGCAACAAATCCTGATGCTGTCTATGCTACTCATTTAGATTTTTTGCGAGCAGGTGCAGATATTATAGAAACGAATACATATCAAGCTTCAGTATCTGGTTTAACGAAATATTTATCTATAACTGAAGATGAGAGCATAAAATTGTTACATGAAGCTGTTAATCTTGCTAAGAGAGCTATTAATGATTATACAAACGAAATAGCAGGGAATAATGATGTTGAAAATAAAGAACCTTTGATTGCTGGTTCTTGTGGACCATATGGAGCTAGTTTACATAATGGTTCAGAATATAATGGAGCTTATGGCAAAACTGTACCTTGTAAAGTTATGATGGAATGGCATAAATCACGTATTGATGCTTTCATAGATGCTGGCATAGAATTATTAGCATTAGAGACTATACCTTGTTATCAAGAAGCAGAGGCATTGGTTGAACTTTTAAAACAATACCCAAATGTCAAAGCATGGCTTTCATTTTCTTGCAAAAGAAACAGTCAAAATATAGTGGATGGTAGCAGGTTTCAAGAAGTAGCTACACACTGTTATAAGATGGCTTTACCAGGACAAATAATTGCCATTGGTGTAAATTGCATTGCTCCAAGAGATGTAACTCCTCTATTAAAAAATATTAATAAAGGTGGAGAAAATGAATTTATACCATTAATAGCATATCCTAATAATGGAGAAATATACTCAATTGAGGGATGGGTAAAAGATGAAAATTGTACTTCATTTGAAAGTTTTATTCCTGAATGGTTGGATCTTGGAATACGATACATTGGAGGTTGTTGTAGAATATATGCAGATAATATAAAATCTATCAGAAAGGAAGTAAACAGTTACAAGAAAAAGAAGGAAGCAATGGATTAATTGATTGTATCAAAATTAAAAGTCAATAATTTGTGTTCATTACTCAATCCTATTTTTCACCATTTTGTATCTAAGATTAAAAATTAATAATTACTGTTTATAAAAATATAATTTTTTCCAAAAGTAATTGTTTTCTTTCATTTACTTCTTCTAAACTACATTTTAACGATACGAAATGTACTACGAGAAACTAAATTTATTATCGTCGTTGAAGTAGCATAAAACTTATCTGCTGAAAGATATTTTAAAATAAATATTGACTAAACTTATCAGACTCATGTTAGATACAGATGGAAACAGTTAAAAACATTGCATATGCTATGTGCAGCATGAAATGTGTAATTTATAGTACATGTGCAAACACGTGACGAGATTTGATCTCGTTGATATAATGGGTCTTCGCGTCGTAGGTTCAAAAAATAATCTTTACCAAGTAATCTTGGAACAAGTATTTTTAAATTTTTGTTCACTTTAATATTTATCTCAGATTTCATATGGACTTTGGAATAAGTGCGTTCCATGGAAAGTATTGCCTCAGTCTTTTAGAAACATTTAAACATCAAAGACGTGCGTGAAACTAGTTTCGGTGATACTATTTATTTAAGTTGCGACGTACGCACCGCTATTGAGGAAAATTGTACGATTTATAATTTTCTAAATTAGGTGTTACATTTCGTTACATGGACTGATTATATTTTATTATTAGTATAATATTGAAGATAATTAAAAGCAAACCATGCAAGAAGTACGAGTATTAGATGGTGGATTTTCTACACAATTAGCAACTCACGTAGGTGATGTAATAGACGGGGATCCCTTGTGGACAGCACGATTTCTTGTCACAAATCCTAAAGCTATTATCTCTACACATTTGGATTTTTTAAGAGCTGGAGCTGACATAATTCTTACCAATACTTATCAGGCGTCTATAGATGGTTTTTCGAAATATATGAATATGACAGAAAAGGAAAGCCTTAATTTATTTAGTAAAGCTGTAGATTATGCTAAAGTAGCTGTAGATTTATATAACAAAGAAATCGAAAACAAAGAGAATGTTGTAAATGAAAATCCATTGATAGCTGGATCTATTGGACCATACGGTGCCTGTTTACATGATGCCTCAGAATACACTGGTAAATATTGCTCCTCTGTGTCAGAGAAAATTCTCATGGATTGGCATAGGCCTCGTATTAGTAAATTGATTGAGAGTGGTGTAGATCTGTTAGCAATAGAAACAATACCATGTAAACGGGAGGCAGAAGCACTGCTTTGTTTATTAAAAGAGTTTCCAAACATAAAGGCTTGGTTGTCTTTTTCTTGTCGTGACGATGGGAAGAGCATAGCTGATGGTTCTAACTTTCAAAATGTTGTAACACAGTGTCATAAAATGGCTTTACCAGGACAAATATTAGCAGTTGGTGTTAATTGTATTGCACCACAGTGTGTAGCTTCTTTATTGAAAGGAATTAATGGAAGTTGTAAACAAGAATTTATACCTTTAGTAGTATATCCTAACAGTGGTGAAAAATATACAGTAGAAGCTGGTTGGATAAGAAAGGATGGAGGAGATACATTACACCAATATATACACGAATGGCTTAATTTGGGTGTAAGGTATATAGGTGGATGTTGTAGAACACATGATACAGATGTAAAGAAAATACGAGCGGAAGTGGAAAATTGGAAAAATATATGAAAGACGTCTAAGACTTATTGTACATATGTAATATATAAATAACCATATGCATTACATGTACTACTATATAAAAATGTATTTTCAAAAGTTTAAATATCAAAATACTTTTTTACACTTTTTACAATAAAAATAATTTTTTAAAGTATAATTGTACATGTTTATTAATGAAATCATACTGTAAGATTCGAATAATGTATAAATAAATATTGATACGAACATGAACTAAATTTATTATCATTACAAAAAATTATAAATATATATATTTATATTTCAGTTTTTCTCAGATTGAACTGTATATATTAGTTCGTTACCGATGTCATATACGCTACCTTGCACACTTACTTTAACAGTTTTATTTTCTGTGTCCACATGAAATGTGGAATTCTTAGGTATTTCAGTTTTACCTTTTAAAATATCATCACAAATTGGTTTTATTCTGGATCCCAGGAGAGGATCGTTATAACGGTATAAAAAAACTGATGACGGATCTGAAGAAATAAATTATGTTATAATATTTAATTTTAATACTACGTAATAATTACGTACCCTTTATTTGTTTGTTTTCTTTCGATATTCGCGATATGACGTTCGCTACACTGTCTTCGTTTGCGATCTTTATATATAACCTTAATAAACCGCTGCACTTTTGCGGATTTATAACACATACTGTAACTCCAGGTTTACAAAAAAAGTTCATATATGGAGAGCCTGGACAACATTCTTCCTTCGTTTTTTCAGGAGCTTCATCAGTATATTTTACGATAACAGTATCCAACTGAATTTAGATAAACCCAAAAGTTAATAAATATAAAAAACTTTTACAAAAATAAATGGAAAATGTATATTACTTACATCTAAAGTATTTTCAAGATAACTCTTGTTATCCCGAAGAACTTTGAATTCATCAAAATCTAAAGTCAGGTTAAGTGCACTTAATCCAATAAGTTCCATTTTTTCTCTTATAACCTGTACAAATGGCATAACGCGCTTCATGTATTTTTTTAATTCTTGTAATTTACCCAATTCTACTGCAATAATTTTATTTTCTGGTAGTTTATTGCCATTCTTCTGCAACGTAATTTAATATAAAACGTTTTAATTTAAACAGGAAAATTTGGTATTTCTCAAATGTATTTCGTAATAATTACTCACAAGGTACAAATCTTTCATGGTAGTTAAAACAGTGCTTTGCCAAGAAGGGTAGGTTTTAGCTACCCAAATTATGCCTTCTGTAGGTTTTTCTATTGCTGTTCCATTTTTATTGCTTGAGGTTTTCCTTGGTGTCATATAACTTTTTAAAAGAAGTCTAAACGAATGTGCCGCATCCATAAGATACTCAGACGATTTTATGAGAATTTCGTCTATTTCTCTTATCTGAGGCCACCTAGCATTCAATATGCTTCCTTCTTTCCCAATAAGTTTCCATACATGTTCTGTTACATGCGGACAAATCGGAGACAAAAGAATAATTTGAAGTTCTATAAATCTCATAATCAATGTCCAATTAATACCATCTAACGCGCTCAGCTGTATATACTTGTCTCTTGCTGCTTGCAATTCAAAGAATCCTGTCTTTAACGCTTCCTTATACAGCATTTTCGAATAATTATCTCCAGTCTCTCGTATTTTTAAGTTCATTTCGCTTTCAAAGACCTTATCATTGAATGTATCTGGCTTTCCTTGTCTAAAGGTACTCTTTGATGCCAATACTTCTTTGACCCATTCGATGAAATTATACAATCGAAGAATTCCAGCATTCGCCATACTTTCTACGAAATTAGCATCTTCGATCGAATCACCAGAATCAGCTAAACAGAGTCGCATACCATCCGCGGAAAATTTTTCTACCGCCTCCGCAAGTGTCAAGAAGTTACCTTCAGATTTTGACATCTTAGATGAGTTTAATAGTAAATGTCCATTTGCTCTTATTCCTTTTGGCCATAATTCGGGTTGCGTAGACCACACGGCAACGTGATTATAAATGAAAAATGTGAGATGATTCTGTACGAGATCTTTCCCAGATACTCTCAAATCTACCGGATACCAGTATTGAAATTCGCGTCGCATATGATTTAAGGCATCTTTTCGTATATCTGTTTTTGGAAACTTAGCATCCTTGAAGAAAATGTAATCCCATACTTTTGGTGTCATTTGATTTGCCTTTATGTTGTATGTATTAGGTTTATCGCCTTTAAATGTGCCCCCTTGTAACAAATGCGCAACGGTATAATAAGCCATATAGATCGTTGAATCTGACAAGGATTCTATTAACCAATCTTCATCCCATGGTAATTTAGTACCAAGTCCATAAGTTCGTGAACATGCATATTCGCGTAACCAATCAAGACATGCCATAAAATTCCTTTTCACTTCGTCATGAAAGGTATTGAGGTTATTTAAGGCCACTGTTGCTTCTTTTTTCCAACTTTCTTCTCCATAAATCAGATACCATTGATTACATAAAGCTACCACGCATTCATCGTTTGATCTAGATATAACAGTTTTTTCCGGTTCGTAATATATGACCGCTTTACCCTCATCTATCAATTCCTTTTGTAGTTGTTTTTTAACATCCTGCACTTTCTTTCCTTTGTATTTACCTACTAATAATACGCCATCGTAAAAACCTTTAAGATATACCATCTCTTTTGCTTCCAGTAATTTAGCCTTATCATTTTGAGATTGAATTTTTAATTTATCGTACACAATTACTGCAGATAAATTACCAAATTCGGGCACGTCGATAATAGGTATCGGGTCATAAGGTAGCACCATTTCGTCTGTTATTCCATATTTTTCTCTCAGTGCTTGTTTTTTTTTTAAGTCCATTAAGGCTGCATAATCATCAGGAGAATCACTAGGTACAGAAGTAACAACTCCGGTACCTTTGTCTTCTTTGATAGTCATCATTGGTAAAGTGTAAATTATTTTGTTAATTGTAATAGGTGCTTCTACAGGTAATCCTAGTATATCTTTTCCAGTAAGTTTTAAGGCAATTGATATCTTTCCCTCCTCTTTAAAGAAATCTTGATAGGCCATGTTCCGTGCTGCTCTTTCTGTTGATATATAAATATCTCCATTTGACAGAGTATATGCAATATAATTCATATCTGGATGAATCCAGCAGTTTGTTTGACCATACATTGTTTCTGGTCTCAGAGTGGCAGCTACTAAATAAACTGGTTTGCCAGAAAGGGACTTCAGGCTTGTAGGATAAGGTTCTTGTAATTTCATTTTAATCAATGTGTATTCTTGTGGTCCTACTCCTTCTCCTGTTGATCTATCATGATCCATACAAGGTTGCCCATCCTTTGGTGAATAAACTGTATACCTTTTCCCATATTTTATTTTGTTCTTTGCTTTTAAATGTTCAAATTGCCACCGTACAAATGAATCAAAAAATGGATTTGCATCAGTTGTAATAAATGTTCTGCGCCAATCTATCTAAACATTTACATTATTTCTTTAAATTATAGTATTTACTTCACAAAGATGTTTAACTTACATGTAATCCAATTGATTTTAAATCTTGAACAGCAAGAGGTGGAAAATAGTTTAACCAATATTCAGAATCAGCAAAATTCTTTATCTCTTCATGTTCCAAACCAAGGGTTTGCATAATTTGCCATTGATATTTTGCACTAACAGTCTTTGCAACAGCTTTGCTCTAAAATTATTTATTTACTGAAATATAGGACATGAACATCTTGAATATAATTAAGTTACCTTTGTTCCTTTACTTTTGTCCTTTATTATAATATCATCCATGACTTCTTCTTTTGCTTTTTGTTCTTCAGGAAACTGTGGTGGATAACCATATAATTCCATTTCTCTTTTAAGTTTATCTGCACATGCTTTGATGGGCATACCTGTGCAATGGAAACCAAATGGAAAAAGGACTTTCTTCCCTAATAAACGATTGTAACGTACAGCAAACTATAAAGTTATTAAATCAATATAATTTAAATCAATTTCTATGAACTAATTATATAAAATATCTTGTTCTTGGTATGTTTTTATCAAAGAATCACCTCGCATTTAGATAATGAAAATGTGTGACCAAGATGAAGTCTCCCATTCATATAAGGAAAAGGGAAAGTTGCCAAAAATTTTTCCTCTGGTGATTTTCTAGGTTTTAAAGGAGCATCTTCCTCATATACTTTATCAGCTTCCCATTTGGCTTGTATCTCTTTTTCAATATTTTGAAGATATTCTACTTTAAATGTTCCTTTCCTTTCTATTGCCTATCAATGAAAATTTATTTATTTTAAAATGGCAATATATTTTTGTATTTCTAATTAATATTAATAATAAACAATTGCAAATATATTTAAACTTTTAGTACAGCTGTTAAGTTTGCCGGTATGAAGTGCATTAACACTATCTTTTTATTTTAATAGAAATTTTCACATAACACAGTAGTAAAAGTAATTATTCTATTCGAAACAAAATAATAATAACTACCATTTTGTTAATAATAACAGACAATAAATATTAATGTCTTTATGGTGAACACGCGGAGACATGCACTATGATACAGTATTGATACTACGGTAGAATACTGATACTGTAACTGTGGTAGTCTTATAGTACATATTGGGTGTATCCAAAAGGTACTGCTCACTAAGCCGCTCACTGAGCGGCGGTTTTAATACTAGTGGGGCTATCGGTGGCAAAATGCCTAAGTGTGTAGTGAAAATAGTTCCCGTTATTAGTTTAAGATGGCGCTACCAATACATTTAATAAATAATTCTTTTTTTTTTCATAAATGCGTAATTAATACGTTTCTTTGCTTTATAATACTACAATATATTAGTTAATATATAAAATTTATCATTTTGATGAATAGTTATTTAATTTAGCAATAGTTATTGGTTCTTTAGTTAATGGCGCCATCTAGCGGAAATACCGCAAACTATTTTTCACTACAAATTTGGGAATTTTGCCACCGATGGCGCCACTAGTATTTAAACCCGCTCATTGAGCGGCTTAGTGAGCGATAGTCCTTCGGGATGTATATGTAATACAAATACAACAGGTTGATACGATGAGGATGATGAAATTTACGTAGAAAATTCATGATATAATGCAATATTTTTTAATAAACATTTTACAGTGAAATGAAAGCAGTATATTTTTATTTTGCAATTCTTGAAGAATGTTTTTTTCTTATAATTTTACATTATATGTTTGTATGAATATATTCACATACGTGTAACTGGTTTTAGACCTAATATTGAAAAACATGTTTCCATGATAATTGCAGTAGCTTCTATTAATAACATACGCCCCATATGTACATTTATTAATTTTCCCTCTTTGTCTTTTTCAATACAATAACAATTATCGTAGAACTCTGCGAACGCGCATGAGATTTCGTAACAATACTCGCATAATGTATGTAAGTACAAATCTTCCGTAATTTTAATTAATATATCATGGAATTTGATTAATACTTTAGCTAATTTCCACTCCTTTTCATGCTTCAATGAAATGGGAGTAGTTTGTGCATGTTCTTGTAATTTCTCGCGCGAAAGGTTAGCTAATCTCGCGATAGAACATATTCTGGTTAGAGCATACAGCAAATATACTGCTGTATTCCCTTTATCCTCGAGCATTTTATCGAAAGAAAATACATATTCGTGATTTCTGTTATGCGATAAATCTGCGTACTTTATACATCCATAAGTAATAGATTCTTGAGCTATTTTCAATTCCTCTGCCGTGAGAATTTTGTCACGTTCCTTTTCTTTCAATTTTTGAAGTGTCCTTTTCAAACCTTCATCTAATAAATCACTTAATTTTACTGTATCACCGGATCGGGTCTTAAATTTCTTTTTATCTTGACCAAGAACTACACCAAATCCGACGTGGTCTATTCGATGATGACTTTTTACAATTCCCGCTCGTTCTGCACAGCTTTTTAATACTTGAAAGTGCATAGCTTGGCCAGCATCTGTTACATATATTACCTGTAAAAATTATAATAAATTATAAAATAATAGAAATGATTTCACAAAATATAATATTGACTCATAAAATTAATATGAATTACTCGATCAGCTTTCTCTTCTTCTATTCGTTGTTTAATGGCTGCCATGTCTGAAGTATCGTATGTAAAACCACCGTCAGATTTTACGATAGTTAAAGGTATTTCGTTGTCACGTTTGCCCCACATTACTTTTCGTCCTTCGTCTTCCTCTAATAATCCCTTTTCGTCTAATTCTTTAACTATTGCTTCCATACGTTTCTGGTAAAAAGATTCACCTCTTTCTATTAATTTAATGTCCAATCGATCGTACAACTTTTGGAACTCTGTATTTAAAGTAAACAAGAAAAATTAAAATAATGTTTTATTTTATTTTTAATTTAAATAATGTAGTTAACTTCACCTTTTCTAGAAACATCACAAATCAGTTGCCATGCTTTTGTCATGTCAGGGTCAAATGCTTGTAACTTGACAACACAGTTATATGCACGTTTCTTAAATTCTTCATCTTTATCAAATCTTTCCTTTGATTCTTTATAAAAACTCTAAAATTTTCAGAATATATAGTTGGTAGCAATTTTTAATGAATTATATAATTGTATTGTATAAAATTACCTGAAGGTCTGTAATAGGTGGACACACAGTCAAATAGTCTGGGAATCTATCCTGAAGGTGAGCTATTAACATTCCAAATTGGGTGCCCCAATCACCAACATGATTTATTCTAAGCACATCGTGTCCTAAGAATTCTAAGAGTCTTGAAATACTTTCACCAATTATAGTGGATCTTAGATGTCCAACATGCATTTCTTTAGCAATGTTAGGACTAGAAAAATCTACAACAACTTTTTGTTTTTTTACGTACGGTGGAAACGCTTTTCCTGCTTTTACTAAATTACCTAACATTGTTTGTACAAATTCTCGTTTTATAAATATATTTATATAACCGGCACCAGCAACATTCATTTGAGAGATTAAATTGCAATCTTTTACTTTTGACATTATGTTAAGTGCAACATCGCGTGGAGATGTTTTAATACCTGTATACATAAAATGCTTTCATTGATATTGATAATACTTTGGTATGAATTCTTATTTATATTAATATCTCACCACTGTTACCAAGTAATTTAGTAAGTGGCATAGCACTGTTACATTGATAATCCCCAAATTTTTCATTATTGCTGTATGCTAAAATTACTGGAGGATTAGGAACATCTGGATAAGCAGTAGAAATAGCATCTGCAAATAATTCAGATAAAGCAGCATATATACTCTTTGCACATGTTGGTGCAGCTTTTGTTCCACTTTGCATTTTTGCTCTATCAGTTTCAATAGTCTGTTTAACAGAAGTACAAATAAAAGTAATAGATATAATACATTTTCTATATTCATTTAATAGTTATAAACATACCCTTTTAAGTATAGCTACTCTATGCTTTAATTTGATATTTTCCTGCTCTAATTTCGTGTATTCATCTTTAGCTGCAGAGTTCAATTTGGAATTATTAGATGTAATATTTTCTCGTAGAAACTCGATTTCTTGCTTTAAAAAAGCTATCTCTTCTTCCTGCAATGTGTACATGCGATTACTATAACCTAGAAATGTTCCTCGGTAAAAGATTACATTTTTGCGGATGAATATTTATGCAGTAACTATAAATCAATATCATAACTCACCGCTGCAGCTGCTCTTTTGTGAAACATTTCCAAATTTTCTGCAGACATTTTGCGGAAATTTAAATAGACCGATACACGCCGACCTGTTATTTGAGTTCAAGATGGCAAGGGCGAAATATTAGTAGCTACCTTCTTTAACACTTGTGTATGTTATTTTTTGCATATAAATAGTAGACCTTGGTACTCGCAGTACAGTATAAATCATCAGTAACATTCAAGAACCGGTGTTGATATGATTTCGATTGAAATTAAACAGTTATAAACGTTTTTCAGCGATTAGTATGGGCAAAATATTAATTCCGCGCCGGTGGCGCCATCTAGCGGTTGAATCAGGGAAGCTCCAGTTTTGTAATAGGATAACAGAACGCTAGTGGAGGTCTACGCTTGAGATTGTGCGAGAGAGAAAGATACACCGTGCGAGAAGGATAGAGAGCACCGACCCTATAAACGGCAGTGCGCATGCGCAGAGTACACTCAATTGTTCGTCGATTGTTTATCGATTATTTACAAATAATTCATGAACTTTTGCATACTCAAATTAAAGCTTAGGCTTCTAGGAATCTTCTCTTATAAGTGGATCGAATCATTATGCACTATTTAAATAGTTGTAAACAATCTAAGACAACCGTAGTTCCAAAGTAGTTCTGACTACGCCACCAGTCATTGCAATTATCGTTAATTAATCAATATTAGATACATAATTCATGCAGTTTGGCACTCGTGGAAGGTAGTTTGGATCCTTGGCAACATTCAAGGACCATTTTCGTTACGATTTTAATTGTTATTAACGAGTTGTCAACGAATTTCGAGTCAAGGACACGTTCCATCTGTCGCCAATACTCGGACGTACTCGCGCACCGTTTCCAAAAATTGTTCCTAATTATTTCAATTCAATGAAAATCCTATCGAAAACGGTCCTTGAATGTTGCCAAGGATCCAAACTACCTTCCACGAGTGCCAAACTGCATGAATTATGTATCTAATATTGATTAATTAACGATAATTGCAATGACTGGTGGCGTAGTCAGAACTACTTTGGAACTACGGTTGTCTTAGATTGTTTACAACTATTTAAATAGTGCATAATGATTCGATCCACTTATAAGAGAAGATTCTTAGAAGCCTAAGCTTTAATTTGAGTATGCAAAAGTTCATGAATTATTCGTAAATAATCGATAAACAATCGATGAACAATTGAGTGTACTCTGCGCATGCGCACTGCCGTTTATAGGGTCGGTGCTCCCTATCCTTCTCGCACGGTGTATCTTTCTCTCTCGCACAATCTCAAGCGTAGACCTCCACTAGCGTTCTGTTATCCTATTACAAAACTGGAGCTTCCCTGATTCAACCGCTAGATGGCGATACCGTCGCCGGCTATTTCTATCCTTCTCGCACGGTGTATCTTTCTCTCTCGCACAATCTCAAGCGTAGACCTCCACTAGCGTTCTGTTATCCTATTACAAAACTGGAGCTTCCCTGATCCAACCGCTAGATGGCGCCACGCGCGAAATTCAAATTTTGCCCCTACTAATCGCCGAAATAAATAAATAAAACGTTTATAACTGTTCAATTTCAATCGAAATCATATCAACACCGGTTCTTGAACGTTGCTTATGATCTATACTATCTTCCACGAGTACCAAGATCCATAATTTATATGCAAAAAGTTAATAAACAATAAGAACAAAGCGAATTGGGAAGAAACCTGGTAGAAAAAAAATTGGTAACGTCATCATTAATACTCGCTAGCAATATTATCGATAATTTCCTAACTATCCAAAGATAATTTTTAAAGATATACGCTTTGCAATCGTGGTACCGAACGTTAACTTTCATATGAACGTTAATTACGTATTAAACATATTACGTTTGGCTCGAAAGCTTCCCTTGAGATTCACGCGATTAAAATGCAATTGTAAGGAATACACTGGACTTCTAAGTTTACTCGTCGTCTTCGACGAATATTCCGGAAGTCGTACCTTCAGCGAAAGAATTTAAACGGCCGCATTACCGCACATGCGGCCAATAATACTCTGCTACCTCTTACCGCTAACTTCTGCAGCGAGCACGAGAGCTTCAATGCTTGGAGCTTTTATTGCCCCATGCTTATTTCGTATCTCCTAAAGTTGTTTTCGATTTGATCGTATCCACATCCTTCCCTGTACCGTTTTTGCTTGCCGCAAATTCCGTACTCTTTCGAGTCGTTTCCGTCCGATACCGTCCCAATAAAACGTGCGATTCTCCTTTTGCACGAGCTACTCTTATCGGTTCTACGTTTTATATCGCATAATTGAATATCAGGAGGAAGCGCCGGATAAAAGTTTAGAACCAGAAGGAATGCTTGCGTCTCTTTTTGCATCGAAAGTATCGTCGACGATTCTTGCACGAGCGTCGTTCACTTTTGTCATCCAGTACCACGCATACCTAAGAGAAAACGTCACTGCGATGGATCAAACAAATTGATAACTATGTCATTTTTTAGTATTTTTCAATAAAAATTTGTATGAATATAGTTCAATGTATCCTCAATAACATATCCCTTTCCTTAATCGAAAGAAAAACGTTACAGGAATTAGTAATTTTTTCAGCTCTACACAGTGGTGGTGTTCTCCTCTTCGTGTAAAACAATGATTTCAAGAAAAGTTAATATTTTTGTGCCATCAATCTGTGGCAGATGTTATAATTAAAACGATAACGCGATAAAACCGCGGCACATGCGCGAATTTGATATAACTTCATGAATTTACGATATCCGCTTACGCTACGATATCCGACCTGATAAAAGTAGGACCACGGGAATTATTACTACTAAATTTATCGGCTATCCACGTTATCTCGATCGACATATCGTCGTACCGGTTATCACGACCCCTGTCGATGTGGACCGTTGGCTAGAACGATTGGAATAGCTTCATTGACGTTCGCTTAACGTACTTACCTGGTTTGTTCTTCATTATTTTGTAATCAGCCCTCTGATATTCGGATAGCGTACGTTTCCGTCGATCGATGTTTGAATTGACATTCCACTAACCCCCCCCCCTCCCCCCCCCCCCCCCGAACGATCATGTCACTGTCCACTGAATATGCATGTCAGTCCACACTGTCAGTCGTTGTCTATCCGATAGCAGCAAGTAAAGAATAATCAGCCAGATTAAACACGTCGATCGCATTTCGTTATAAATATCAGATGTAATTATACAAAATTTGTATATTGTTCCTCGTTAAGTACGACGTATAAGTGCTGTTAAAAATAAATTTATACTAATCAAATGTCGTATTTTTTCAAAGTTTTAAACCAGAATTTCCCCTTGAATATCAAATTCGCCGCGTCCGTTAAGGTAGCTTAATGATTAATGCACGAAGACGTCTTGACGGTGCACACCTCGATAAATCATACCGCTATAATCCTCGATTTTTCACTCGTCTCAACAGTTTCTTCATGCATTGAAAAACGTAAAGAAGGCCAACGTCTTCCCTTTGGTAAGATTCAATAAATCACGACCTTTATCGTACTTCAATTCCGTCGAACGAATATGAGACTATATATCGATTTAAATTTTATATTCGCAACCCAATATTCGTATCGATCGTTTAATTCGATTTCTTTTACTTGTACCAAATAAAAACTAAATGATTGAGAAGTGTTCCATTCGGCTAGTGTGTCACCCCTCGAGACGGTTCTCTCAAGATTTCAGCAGTATTAATTAACGAGGAGTATTCAGATAGAGGGGAAGTGTACTCGGGAAGTTTCTGGTTGCTTCCTATTACTATATTTACGGTGCTGGGAATCGTCTAATTATAAACATGCCGAGATTCATAATTGCAACAAACGTTAACCATACTATCGAGGAAGGTTGTCTCGATCTTGCAAGTAAAACTAGGGAATGCACTTACCTTGAAACGATGATCATCGGGTAACAGTGCTGTTCTGCGAATAAATAATTGTTCAGAGAAACTAATTATGGGAACAGAAATGTTAGAGAATTTAATAATAATATTTCAATGGGAACACGAACTCAGAATATATTTAAACGCCTGAGTGTGTGTATATAGATATATATATATATATGTATATGTATATGTATATATTTATAATCGCGTTCATCATAAAAGTACAATAATAGCTTTATATCAAATCACGAGGAGAAATTCAATATTCACACGGTAGGCGCGGACAGTAGCTCTTAAAGGTACCGATTTACCGAGGACTGTTTCGTGGCTTCTTCGCGACGTATGTTTCCTTCGTTATACGTTTAAAATCCAATTGTTATTTAACATCAACGTGGTCGTTGGTTTTCATTTTTTTCCATTTCATTTTAGTCTACAACAAATTAATACGAACGAAGCAGGATCAACGCGGTAAATACCTAGGGTGCTAAACAAAACAAAATATATAGACAATGCAGCAATAACAACAAACAGTTAGAAAAATGCAGTTGGCTGTCGATTGGTTGAAAAATGACGGAATGGCTGATACACGCGCTGGATCATCAAGAAAATCAGTGTGGTTTCTCATCTCTCGGGGTGAGGGGGGATGTCGGTTCGTTGCACGAGAACGAAGCTGTACAAACCTTCTCGCGGGAACAAACAATTCTTTGTTCACTTCTATTTCTATCGCTTTCATTCTCTCTTTCGCCGTTGAACATTCCATCAACCTATTCCGTCTGCTCCTTTCCGCCCGTTGTCGTTATTAATTTATAATCACCGCAATCGTGTTGCCAGCGTTAATATGTTACAATGACACGTTATAATGCGCACTTGTCGTTACGTTCAACTGGTCCATAATGCAAACCAACACACAGAGGCTACGTTTGTTCTTCATCGTACGTTACCAAGCCTCCGCATTATCAGCATTGTTTCCTTGGATCCTTGGATCACCTGCAGGTGCTCGTTACGCGAACTGGATTCCTCGATAAAATTTCTAGTCGATCTCAAAGTCTAATTGGGAATGATCTAAGGAATACTCTCCAATGACCACGATACGCATTGTTTGGGGCACGAGCGAAGGTTCAACGAATCGTTCGCGACAGATGGTAATTAGGATTAATACAAAACAATCCGTATAGGAACTGTTTCCAGCGCAAGGTGTCTACTGAATCGAGTCACCTGCAGGTGCTCGTTACGCGAATTGGATTCATCTAGTCGATCTCAATGTCTAATTGGGAATGATTGAACGAATCGTTCCCAATGGTAATATAATACACATCGTTGACGGCACAGGTGAACATTCGACCCACCGTTCACGACGGAGGCCAATAAAGGGAGCAGAGGAAAGAACGTTGTCAAAGGGCGTTGTAAATCAGGCACTTTATAATGTCCGTCACCCTTTTTTTTTCTTGTTTGTCTATTAACCGTACTTCCATTTAAAGTTACTCGGCATTACACACTAGTGTATGTGCACTCGAAAGAATCAGCGACGCGCCTAACCGTTAAAAAAAGTATACCTAAACACCTCGTTCACCGCCATTCACACGACCGCGCACGCAAACCGCACTATCAAATAAAGTGAACAACAGTCACACTTCTCTCCGTACAGTGCGCCAAAAAAAGTGTCTTTACTATCACGTTTTGAACGAATTTTTCTTGTTCCTTTGTCCCCGTTCCGTTTAATCCCTATCCGTTATCTCTCGTCACCACTCTTTCGTTTCCTCCAAATTCCTCCTCTTCCTTCAATCTATACTTATATTCCGTTCTCTCTATTTTTTTCTGTGTGTTTTTTTTTTTTTGTTCATTTTTGTATTTTTATCGTGTGTGTTTCCGTTTCTTCGCCTCGGACCACATCGGATCTTAACGGAGCGCGGCTGTTCCCGACTCTAATCGCCGCGTTTCTAATGCCACGCAAACACACGATCTATCGTGATCGAAACTGGTCGACCTTCATCAAACACTTTTGATGAGAGGTCCTGTCATTAGTTAGAAAACGTTAAAAGGGTCTAGGTCATCAGTTCCGTTGTGTCGTCGGCGTCAACGTCATCCGGAGGATCCACCCTCATGGCCAGCTGCGTGTAACCCTTGTTAGCTTCCCTTCTTCCCGACATAGCCTGCAAAGACAAACATAAAACATTGTTTCATCGATATAGGAGCCCAGGATAAAGTACTGTAAATTTTCCACGTACCTGAAGCGCGATGAATATGGTAGCAAACAGAGCTACCGATACCAAACAAATGGCGACAGCTATGGTTATAGTCGCCGTTATGGCCAGAGACGCTGAATCACTCTTATCAGTCGTTGTTCCTTCGTAATTCGCGTACACTTCTGAAATGGCCGAGTCTGCCGAGGCAAACTCTGTTCCCGGTACTCTTCTTTTACCAGCTGGCGAGCTGTTCCTGCAGCCGCCTATGATTATACAAAAGAAACCGGAATGTTAATAATTTGATAAATATTGAAAAGAACGAAAACGTCGTAACAAGAAGTAACGAGCCACTTACCACTCTCTGGATCGCATAGACAGCACTCTTCAGCCTGTGGACCCTTCTCGTTGCCCGTGCAACAAGGCACGCACTGGTTGTTCAACTTATCCAAGTGCAACGGGGGCGAACAGGCTGCGCAACTGAATTTTCCAGGTCCAGTACATCTTCGACAATCGGTGTGACAATTCTTGCAAAGCTGCGTCAAAGAGTCGTAGTACTGCGCACCGAGACACTCCATGCACAAGCCACCCTCTAGCATGGAGTGCGGGGGACAGGATGTACATTCCAATGGACCTTCTCCTGTGAAGCGTTCAAACTGTACGCGTTAGAACACTGTTGCTTTTCTTTTGGCCCTTTTCAATGCTAAGACCCGTAGGAATCATGTAAACGGGTATTTCTTAATTTGTATTATTATAAAAAAAAATATTGCTGGATCATTTGGGACATATAATTTCTTTTGAATTTTACACAAAATTGTCCACAGTGTATATTTTTCGGAATAAATGCTCGTAAATTACTGCCAGTTTATCTAGGAGTGGAGGATTTATAAACGTCAGTAGCACCGAAAGGGTTAACGTATCATCCGCGTTACCTTTGCACGTGCGACAGTAGTGGTGACACTTCTGACAGCCGAAGTTGGATTTGAAGAATCCTTCGGGACATTCCGGGTGGCACTCTCCCGCTGCCAGTTGCCAGCCACGAGGACACGTTACGCACTGATCCCTTCTAGGTCCGGAGCACGTGTTACACGATAAGTAACATTTGGCGCATTGACCTCTATCGCTATAATATCTGTACAAAATATTTTTCTCCGCGATTATAAATCCATGTTGAGGAAGTAAAAGAAAGGATATTAAGCGACACGTAGCGGTCGCGTGGGGCTGATTAAAATGGGACACGTTGCATGCACGGATAAGCGTCAGGCTGCTAGTAGTATAAGTCACGGATAAGAGCGACTGCGGTCGCTCGCTATTGGGTTGTACTTTATGGTCGCGTAATTAATTAGTCACCGTGATCTAGATTAAGCCGCAGCGTCCTTAGCCTGTTTCTAAGAACACTGGCTCATGCGGCACGATTATCATCAGATTTTCCACTACAAACGCTTCACTTAAAAAAAAAAAAAAAAAAAAATAAGCTCGTCGACCCTTGATTTCGAAGATTTCTTTCGAAATAAATTTCTTTCAAAACCTAGAGATAAAACAAGCGAATATACGACACGCGATGGTTTCGAAGAGCACCTATAAAGCATGCCGAGTTTTATTTCCTTTATTTATCTATATACGGACTCACCCTTGGGCGCAAGACGACCTGCACTCTCCGCTCTGCAGCTGCAATCCATCCTGACAGGCGGTGCAGTTCAATCGGGACACGCAAGTTTTGCAGGTATGTAAACAAGGAACGCAAACAGGTCTGGATGGTTGCGCCATGGAATAATAGCCGTCGTCGCATTGATAGACGCAACGCATTCCTTGGAGTAGCAAGGAGTTCTGACAGGAGATACAGTAATTCTCCGAAGGACCCGCGCAGGTCCTGCACGATGTATGACACGGTTTGCAGTGCCCGTTATCGTAATATTCGGAAGTCTCGCACTGATCGCGGTGCTCGGGAGCGCATAATCCTTCTTCGTTCAGGCTCCACTCCGTGATGCAGCTCGTGCATGTCGACGTCGCACAGGTTGCACATCCTGGAGGACACGGCATGCACTCTCGTCGTTTCTTGTCCGCGCTGTATCCAGCTGGACAAGATGCTCGACATGTTCCTATGGATGATAAGGTATGTATTGTCTGTTTACTCTTTCAGCCAGACTTTTACAAGAGACTTCTACGCGTGAGACATATACGTCCCACTAGGGTCGAAAGGGTTAATATAAAATGTGATTCGGAAGACGATAATGTTTCTGGAGCCATGAATCGTGACTGAGGGGAGTCTCCTTTCGAGGTTGAACCAGGGAACCACTAATAACAGTTTTCTTTCTTTTAGATTTAATTGAAAATGTTGGTATAATTCTAATATCGGTTATACTTTCAACTATCCAGCGTAATCGCTGATGAGCGAAAATATTCAATATATTTGCACTCGTGTTAGAGCGCTACGCGATTAAGCACATGCTAAAAGTTCGTGTTTGGAATTGTTTCGATTCCCGGGTTATCAATTCAGTTGAATTTGAATGTTTTAAATATTTGGTCGAGGAACGAAAGCGTGCACCTGTCGAAGTGCAAAACGTACAACCCGAAATAGAGATAAAGGAAGGCGTAACGATTCCATGACGAACGTTTGATCCAGCAACTGTCGCTGTCTCCGCGCGCGACAAGGCGATCAGCTGCACGTGTCGTGTCAGTCTATTCTTTTAAAGGATCGCTGCCTGGACGAGTACGTACCGTTCAGTGAAAACAATCCGGGCCGACAGGCGATGCATTGGTTTTCGGCGGTGCCGTTGCAAGTTTCACACGTGGAATGACACGCCGCGCAGCTGTAATCTTGAGTTTCGTAGGTGTAGACAGGGCACGACGCGTAACACTTGTTCTCGTACATGACCAAGTGATGCTCGCAACTGGTGCATTTATCCGGCCTATCCTGGCAACTGGCGCAATTCGCCTCGCAAGGTACGCACGTGCTATTCTCCGTGTCTGAAAATAATATCTTCGTCTAACCTTCGAACAGTCGATCGTCGAATTAAGAAGTTAAATATTTGAAAATAGGTTCTCCACGGTGAACTAAATTCCTTTTAAAGAGCACGCAAACAAAATTTGATTCGTGTAATTTTATTTCCGAAGTAGTTATTCTGGTTCTATGAGTCCTCTTTGACGTTTACTTTGAACCCTTGGACTTACTCTCGTAATATCCTTCAGGACACTGCTGGAGACACACTGCCAGATCGGTGACTCGAAGATGAGCGGGTGCGCAGGAGAGACAAGAGTCCTGGCCAGCCCCAGCGCAAATTTCGCAGGACTCGTGGCAGGGCCAGCAGACTCCACCCTGATTGGGGAAGCTCCTCGGCGGACACCGACTCACGCACGTACTGCAATTGCGATCTCGTAAGCGATAACTCATCTCCGATTGCTACTGTATCGTTCGATGGAATTTTTCTACCAAAGGTGCATTTCAGTGAATTAACGTGAGATAAATACACCGGGCCATGCGTAAAAACGCGATACGTACATCGCTTCGTTGATACGTGTATTTGTTATATATGTACTCCAACGCTTGGAAATATGGGAAAACGATGTACGGCACGAACACTGGGAGTTAATCACTTATGCAGCAACCAATTTCGCGGATGGAAAAATGAAAATACAACGAATAACTTCGTCTTTCACTGGGGCGAAAGTTTCAGTTCTCGCGAGCATAAAACGGGCACGCAGTTTATTTCCTTGCGAGTGGTTAAATATTTACACTTTTAATAATGTCGAAAGGATTCAATGAACGAAAAACGTGAAATTTCAAGCGGAAGCTTTCAAATAAATTGCAACAAATGAACAGGCTACACGCGTGTCCCATCGAAAGTAAAATCTGACGAAAGAACGATAAACATTTCGAGGGATTATTGTTTAACCTTCACCCTCCTCTTTGGTAGCTACATGAGACTGCCATGGGTTTTCCAGAGGGCGAGGATTTATTCTTCGCTAACGAACCTGTACGCTATTTTACCTCTCTATAATATTAGGGCAGATAATCGCTTACTTGTCGAGTCGGTAATTTTTACAGTTGATACATTGCGTGGGTCCGTTTCCGTAGCACCCCTGAGCATCGCACTGGGGATCACAGTCGTGCAGAACTTTTCTGGTAGTGTCCAGGGAGTCGTCTCCGACTTGAGACGAGGATGGGGGTGAATCGAAAGCGGACGACGTGTCCCCAGGTAGTCGATTAGTCAGGATGGGTGCGGAGGAACCGTCCAAGGTTGCCACGGACGCCTGGACGTTGGAACCGGCGCCGACGTACGGGCCCTGGTAGCCCTGAAAGGTAGACGAAGGAAAGAAGTCGACGTCGCCGCGATGGCCCAGTGATAGTGGTTCATCGTCTACTGTGAATGGGTATTGCACTGAGGAGTACGAAGAATGCGCTTGTACCGGGTTATATTGACGTGTTCGTATCCTGATGGGATTCGACGCGGTGCCGTAAAAGATTAGCTGCCACTTCTTTAGGATTCCTGTAACAACAGACGCCAGAAACAAGAATGAACAAGATGGTCCCTCGGCGTTCGCTCGTACACGATTTATATCGTCTTTTCTCATAACACTTTGTCGACTGAATGGACAAACATAGCAGCGTCCCGAGGTATATCTAAATCGAGTCGATCGAATTCCTTTCAATATTTTCAAGCGAGTTTCGTGGTTGTATTTAACGGATTCCTTTGGAAATTTATATTAAAAACTGTAAACTCCTAGACTATATATAACGGAATAAATAACGTTTCGTGCATCTTTATTTTTCTTGTATTAGAAAAATATGTTTGATCTACTTATTTGTCACTTTTATCCTCGGACATAGTTGCACGACGATGCGAACGTAAATTACACCCGATTCCTGAAAAAATAAACATCGAATTAAAGAAAACAACGTTTCGTACGTGACTGTACGTATCTGAAAGCCCTCCAACCTAATTAACGTAACATTGGTAATTACATTTATGGTATTGGTTGTTACAGTTTTAGTGCGAGTATACCAAATTTTACCGTTCTATGAAACTCTGGAAGCCCATACATCGACAAAGTGTTATTTCGATCGTTAGAGCGCGGAGTGATTCGCATAATTATGAGTTTTAATAAGCATGCGTGACGTTAATTGAATTAAACTCAATCGACGGATCAAGGCTGCTCAGGGTTTATTCCCGTTGCATCGTTAGGTCTCATTTTATAGTTAGAGAATAATTTCGATTAAAACTGCTTAGTATCTAGATCCCTTAAATTAATTCGTATGCCCAACAGATATTTTTTAGTAGTTAAAAACTCAATTTGGTCGGTTGTTATAGCCAGCAAGGGTATCGCTTAACAGACCACTCGAGTGTGTCTCGAGTACCTCGCTGTATTTGTTCCAGCCACTACGAGTACACTTGGTAGAGAGAATATAGCGAGGCGCACTCGAGTTACACTCAAGTGTTATGCAAAGCGATATCCTTGAAAGTCCTAACCGCCGAACGCGGTTTTCGTCACTCATTACAGGATTACGCTCGCTCGAAACACTTTAGAACGAGTACACTATCAAAAATTGATTTTTACACAGGATTTTTGGAGAGTTAGACTTCAAAGCGATCCTTTCGCTACACGATGATTAGTTCGGATAGTTAGATCAACACCAAAGCCTTTCCACGAGAAAACAGGATTTCGAGACTTGCCTGGTGAGTTAACGTGCCGATTCCCGGCGTTAATGATTTGCAGAGTCCATCGACCGTCCGCCTTTTCACCCCAGAAGTGCACGCTGAGGAAGGGCCAGTCGTCGAAGTTAGAGCTGAGAACATCCCGCGGCCTCTCGAACAGCAAAGTTGACGTGGTGCCCATCGGCGAGGTCAACAGCAATCTCAAATTTCCTCGCGGGAAGAACCTCAACGAAACCTGTTTGAGAAATGTTTGACGTCGTCTTAAAAAATGTTCGTCATTCCTCGAGAGAAGAGTTCGTCAACACCTTGTCGACGGCGCGAGAACATTATCCATTTCACCCTTTGTGGACTCACGCTTATTCCCTTTTAATATTCCTTCGTCGGATCCATAATGAATTTTATACTCGTGGAAACACAGTTATGAAGAAATTATCGCGCGAAATGTCCAGCGGGAGAGGGATACGCCGGGAAAACGAGAACGTTTATAATAGAATTTATTTTCGCTTTATGTAAAAATATATTTTGTACTTACGATTCATAAAATAGTGCTTGGAAAAATTTGCATTTTAATGCCGCCGTGAATTTATTCTTCCCGTGGGCAGAACTCGCAAATGTTCGCGCGGAATACGAGAATTTAAAAGATCGGAGCGTTAAAAATATATTTCGCCAACCGAGAAGGGTATTTAGCACGTAATATACGATGGAGTACTTTTTCAGAATAAATCACGAGCATTGGTGTAAAGATGTTTCCCGCATCATCCCATTGTGGTGATTTACGGGATCGAAAACGTTGGACGAACGTTGGTTATCGATGGAAACAGAAAAGACGTTAATTCAGTACCAAACAATAGTGGTTACCGCTAAAAGTCTCCTAAGAATTACACAAAACAAAACTCAAAAAAAATTCTTGAAAAAATTCTCAAAGATATGCGTGTTTAAATTGTCTTAGTTAGGCATATCCTATTAATTCGATAGGGCGGATAGATTAGGAGACGCGAAGGGAAAGCATGATCGATGGTATCGATGTCCCCAGTCTCTGTCTTCTTACCTTGCATTGCACGTGTTCGAGGAAGCGAACCTCGTTCAAGGATCCAGCGCAACCGGTGACGTCCATGTAGACGCTGAGCGTGTAACCGTAGGTGGGATCGATACGTCTCTCCTCGTTGATCTCGTCGGACTTGCAGATGTGCTGGGGTGGCACGTTGGTCCACTGTTCGGCCAAGCTGACCATAGCCCCGGCGTCCATCAGCCCGTAACCGAATTTGTGGGAGACCTTTCTCTTGACTCCGTTGAGGATCCAGCCAGGCTCCTTCTCGAGAGGGCCGGATCTCGAGGTGAGGACCACCAGGTACTGCATGTCCCTCCACGTGAGGCTGGGATTCGCCTCGAGAGCTAGGGCGGCGATCCCCGCTGCCAACGGGGCCGAGGCCGACGTTCCGGTGTGCTCGACTGTGCAAATATGATCTGGTCGCAGCTTGGCGTCCATATCTACCGTTGCGACGCTCTTGTCGTTGCCTGGAGTCCCCGAGGAGTAAGTCGAGGCGAGAGTAGAGCTGCATTCCTCGAGGTACCAGGGCTTGTAGCCGCCCTGCGTGGCGCTCGATATGGACAAAGTGAAGATACTGTTCGTGTAGCCGTCGCAGTTGCAAGAGTCCGTGTGACGACCGCCGTTCCCTGACGCCCACACGAAGATCGAGCCCTTGCCCTTGCGCCCCTTCCGACATTCATTTCAAACATCGTTAGCGATTAGAAGATATTCCGGCTCGCTACTGTTAACGAAATCGTGCTCCGCGAATGTTTTTATTATAAATATTTGTAGCCCGGTAGCAATCAATGCACCGTATTCGCGTCGTCTTTCAGCTTTGGGGGAATGTTTGCGCGTGGTGTTTTGCGACTCGGATATATTCCGATCTCGACGAGACTCTGCGGGAACGTTCAAACGCGATATCACCTTGGGAAGTTTGCCGAACTTTTATTTTTCTCGGTTATCTCGTTTGCCCAGAAGAGACAGAACGCGAATGTTTGCGTTCGAGAGATACAAGGCGATTCATGTGGATCCAATCTAAAATCTAAATATATGCGGCTGCCAGCTACAGTTTAATTCTCTTTGTTAGACGTTTCGGATGTTCAAAAATAGTAAACATTGCACGAATACGGAAGGAAACATTTATTAACACGGTTGACGTTTTTAGGGGTAGTTTCGTGGAACGATCTCGTCGAAAGCGGAGATATTTTAATGCGTCACGAAGGAAAATGAGTGCAGTTATCAGTCTAGAGTAAATAATGAAAACATTTCGCTCGACAATCTATACTATTGTACACGGTGAAACGTGTCAGTATTGGCAAGTGGAATTTTTCAAGATTACAAAGCGAACAGAGAAAAACGAAGAAAGAAAAATGGAACTGAGTTATGTAACTTACGCTGGTTACACCGTAAATAAACGCCCTCCTGGCAAGAGGGCCAGGACCATCGACAGTTTTACCATCGTCCTCGGGGCCCCAAGAAGCGCTATATATATCGATGTGATCAGGATTCAATCCCAGTGCTCTGGCTTCGACGGCATCGTTTACCGGGCCATCGAGCATTCGCACGCCTGAGAACACGGAAGGTATGAGCGTCAGATAGCTTTCCTTCTCGTTGCCGTTGCGTCGTGATTTCCACGAAAACTTGTGCGGCCTCCAAGCGAGGCTGCTGTAAACGCGCGGTATAATTTCCGCTCACGGAGATTTCTAATTAGGGGAGAGTTGCCAAGATCGTAACGTTTTAAATAGTATTTTTATCTCGTGTTTCTTACACATCAATTTATACGCGAATAAATCTGGAAAGTAGCTGCCGGATCGTTGCGACAGATATCGCTATGCGTAGAACGAAGGGTAGGTTTCGCGAGGGTATCTTACGAACTTGGTGTCACGGATCGGGATGAAATTTTGTTGAGTTATTCTACGACATTAATGAAAATTCTGTGCAAAAGGATTTGTCGACGCCTCCTTGTGCTCGAGAAAACAAATAAAGTAGTTTATATTTTACTCTAAGGAACAAAAGCAGGGTCGAGGAAGTCAGGGAACTCTCACCTGCGATTCTTCTCGCACGATGACGAGCTACAGGTACCATGTTAAATCGTGCGCGGATCGTTAACGCGCATTTTAATGGAAACGAGCCGGTAAAATTATCGGAACTCGATATTCCAGCGAGGAACATTTCCCTGGTGGAGCGACTTATAACGACCCGGTGCTTGCGAGTGATTGACGTTTTAATCATTGTTACCGTAAATGGAAAATTGAAAATAAAAGTGGCACGGTAGGAAGAATGTCGCGCTGACGATTAAGTTGTCGGCGCGCAATTAAATAGCTTGCATGGAGCGATGGAGTGGAGAATAAAATTTGATGAGAGCAATGGTTGAAGCAATAGCTTCAGATTTGGGAAGCTAAGTTACGCATCTAAGCAACTGGCTACTTTTTGTATTTGCAAATGTACTGTACCGCGAACACACGAGATTCGCCATTTTCGACTCGATTCTTACCGTATCTTTGATTTTAATTTAAAACCAATTAACGATGAACAATGGATCGAGAATGAAGGAATAATAAGTCTATCGTAAAGCATGAAAGAAAAATCGATTACTTCGCAGCGTCGAAGAATGTAGACTGTTAATTTCTGTTCTATCGGGATTTAAGTACTGGATATCACGGACTATTGGAGTACATTATAATTGAGTTATGATTAAAAACTGCAGTATTGAATTAAAGAACGTTTCGCGCAGCGTTTAGATATAATTCGCTGTACTTTGTCGGGAACGTTTAATGCGCTTACAAAATCACGTAACTGTGTGATTATAGTATTACACCGGATTGTTACGAAAATATAAAATAGTCCACGATGGTCCGCAATGGATTGTAATTAATTTGATTAAAGCAGCGCATATTTGGGATATTAATATGGCTTAATAAATATATCGTTATCGATACGACGTATCGACGTGGTTGGACGAAGTTGTTACAGAAGTATTCCATTATCGTAATTACGCGTTTGAATAAATGCATAAACAATATTTCAAAAGATTTGTGGAATTTTTATATGTTACGAGAAGAGTCAGGTTTGTACTAAATTCTCGAATATTCGATGTCAGACATTCAAGTCAGATATCCGAGGTCTTTAGAATCATCAGTTCCGTCCTCTGTAGGTTAAAGTTCAGAAAGCTATCTCATAGGGGGATCGTAATTCATACAACTGGATAACGGAAGTCATATTTAATTGAAGGGACCGTGTATCCGGGTAAAAGTTAATTTGCTGGAGTTGCGTTTTTATTTCAGAATAGAACGTCGGGGGAATGGGACCTGTTATTTATAGGGTGTCCCGAAGTGACCAGGATCTTTTTCCTCGTCTGTTTCACGAGGTTGTGTTTCTCTCGCACTGTGCTCGCTGAAAAAATCGTAATTTCTTACCTCCTATGCTGGCGTTATAGGCGACGCCGACGCCGCAGTATTGGTTGAAAGCAACTGCGGCGACCTCGCCAGCGCATCGAGTCCCGTGCTTGTTGTCACCGTTGTCCCTTGGCATCGGGTCGTTGTCGTTGTCGTTGATATCCCAGCTGGCCTGGTGATCGTAATTCAGTGCCAGGTCGGGATGATTCGTTTGTATGCCGTCGTCGAGGATCGACACGACAACACCCTTGCCAGTGTAACCCTTCTGCCACGCTGGGCCAAGATTCATATCGTAGCCATCCTTGGCCCCGCCGTTCTGGAACACGCGAACAAACAGTGAACGCCCCTGGATCGAATCCCTTACACGTTCAATTTGATTCGAACGACGTTTCGGGAACGACTATCTTTGGATTTGTTGCTTCAGCGACGGTTCCACCCTCCAGCGACAATTTTTGCTATGAAATAGTGCGACAGAGTCATCGTTCCTGTTACCATTCGGTCGGTGGACAGTCGAAGTGATTATCGAAAGAGCGACACCGACGCAGGCCTCGTTAGAGACGAGGAACAATGCCAAATAGGACGTTCGCGTAAATTTATTTGATTGTTTTTAAAAGTTCCATTCACCCCTGAAGTGGGTACCATATATTACGGAGTGCCATGTTCATTTCGCGCTCGTAAATTCCTCTCAATTTAACTCGAAACTGTTCGAATACAATGCGCAAAAAATAGCGAAGGGACAAAGGTTTTATCGGCCTGTAAAATACACGATTTTTCGATTACACGACGAGCTCGATCTGTGAAATCCCTGGGCGACAAATGAAAAAGAACAACGTTTTCTTTTACCCTTCGGGGGGTCGCGAACAATTTTCCTTTATTTATTTCAAACAGAATACGACAGCTGCTGGCAAAGGATCCTTGAAAATCCCATTTTTTACGAGAATTCCCGCCATGACGGTTATAATCATTCGATCATAACGAAGAGTATTTACGTTTGAACCATAAATTTGTACGATTAACGAGCGACAATGAGAACGTATCCGCTCCTCGTACGTTTCGACCTCCTCGATGGTCATTCGTCACGCGAACAAACATTTTATTAAAATCATATCGAAAAGTTTCGACGGTTTCGTCCAATAAATTTATAACTCCGACGGTCGCGTAAAGGGATTTATTGTTATTGCTGTGTTCGACGCACAAAAGAACCATTCGATATTTATGTCCGCCTATTACAGGAGTTAATTAATTTCAAGTTCTGCTAACGTATTTCATTTTTGACAAAGTGCGACGCGAATGAATTACTTTCATTTGCTTTTCGAATGGTACACGATTGGTGTATCGGTGGCTGGAGTTGTGATAGTAGTTTTTTCGTATAATTTTAGCTGCACGTTCCTCCAATTGCTTGTGTATATTCGTTAAATCCTATTCTGTCTACGAGATAATGCACCACTACAGGGTAAGAACGAATTCGTTGGAGAAATTTGAATACAAGCCAGAGGTCGTGGCTTCTCACGCGGTGGCTGTTCATAATTCTCCGCGTGTCGCCTCGAACGATCGTTTTCGGGTATAGACCAACGGCGATCGCTGCTCTTGTCGTTTCTAGGATTAACGGCGGAACAGGATATACGAGCACAGTATTAACAATGAGATGTTTTTCGATCGCAAACAGGATTTTGGGCCCGAAACAAGCACGACCTTTCCCTTTGGGATAATTCCAGCGTGCGTACACGTCGATCGAACCGTTATTCGATGATTTAGTCGTTTAACGCGATGATACTTAACGAACCGAACAATCGCACGGCCAATTGGATATGAGTGGGCGTTCGCGAATGACGAACGAACATTTAATTGCACTGCTGGAAACGGATCGCTGAAAAATTGTTTCGCTGCTCAAACGGATTCCGCTGTAATCGAAATGTCCCCCTCCCTTGGCGTGTCCGAATTTTAGCGAAAATCTAAATTAAAATATACTGGAATAATGTTTTATATTTATAAACAAAGGTACGCGATACAGATGAGAAAAATTTCTTGAATTGGTAAATCTCTAAAAATCCGTTTATAATAGCATCGCGAATCTGTAGATTGTTTTCACATATTCGCCGCAAGCTTTGAATTTTACACGACACTGGCGGTGTTAAAATATTCAACGTCACGTCACCTGAAAGTGGGTGGCATCCGGTCTCGGTCGACAGCGCAAAAATGAAATGATAGAATTACGACGAACGAGAATTATGAATCGCCAAGTTTTAGCGTCGACAATCAGTTTTAGTACCGAGGGAAGGAGAAATGGAAGAATCCGAAAAGAAATCGCGTTTGGTTTCGAGTAACATTAGCGATCGAAAGTTTGTGTAGAATGATATTTTTCATCGATGTCATCGTATCAAATTTGATGATTTTTTTGATTAATTTCACCCTAGTCGATGCATCCAGTGCGAGGAAAATTTCAGAATTTCTCTTATTTGTACACGGTCCGAAACTTTTGAGCGGAAATGTCCCGTTGAAACCTTCACGCGGTAGTCAATGTGTTATTCAGTCACGTGTGGTTATCGATCGTAATTCCCGCAGACGTCGATTCGAGGCGACACGTACACTATCCAAGTGCGAGTAAAATCGGGAGGAATCGAAATGGGACAAAATGGTAGGAACTGGATCCCGAATACGTTATAACCGTTATCGGATGTCATTAAGTCTGGCACGTTGGGGGATGCAGTCGCGTCACGTATGCAGCTCGTTTTGGTTGGTTTCAAGGCAGTAGAATAGAAAGGCCCACTTACCAGGTACCACTGTTCCTTGAAGAGCGGATCCGTGAACAGGTTCTGGAAGGGTACACCTCTATTTCTTTGCCGATGGAACGTGGCTTGCCGAGGACGCGGGCCAAACTCGTCGAAAAATGACGGGTAATCGCTGAATGCGAACGACGTGGGCGCGAAGTCCCTCTTCTTGCGCTTCTTCTCGTGCTGCTGCTGGAACCATCGTACCTGGAAAAACGGTAAGACAGTTTCTTTAGAGGATTACGACGCTCCGATTTGGAAAACAGGCTTCTCGAGTGTTTGGGGAAACGCCAGACACTGGAGCGTATATTTTGGAATAATATCGTACGCTAGTTTCGTTCGTCTGTTCTAAAGAAACAGTTTTGAAGTGAGCAAGTGAAAATTTAAAATAATCGAGAAGTGAGACTGTCTTAGAGTAGTGGAATGATATACGTTTTGCAAAATATCAGCCATCAGGGTTCGTTCGGCTAAAAATGTTGGCCGCTCGCGGTCAATTTTCGTGCACGGCTGCGTTTTCGAGTAATCCCATACGCGTGCGTGATCGGGCCTCGATTTATCGCGGAATATTCACGAGCAGGACCCGTCGAACGAAACGAAAATTTCGCGAGAACGGATTTTCCAGTATGGCGCCTTGTAAACTGCGCCATCGACGCGAAACGTTTTCGCAGCCTGGCTTCGACTCGGTTGAGCGTGAAACACGCGACGCCTCGGTCATCGTTTCATTCATATCGCTGGACGACTAGTTTTAAAGCCTCCGCGGTGAAAATTCACGGCCCTTGAATTTTGGCCAACCTCCAAATCCCTAGGCTCGTTCGCGTTCCGCGTCGATAAGTGTCACGGCCGTTCTGTCACGTGCGTCGCGACGCACCATGCTACGGATCCCCCGGTAAATGCAACCAAAAGTCCTCACGCGCTAACGCTGAAGTGGAGAAGGAGGTTGAAACGAAATTTACTAGACTGGAATACTCGTACCGATAGTCGCCAAATATTCGATGATTCGCTTCGACACGCATAATTTCCGCGAATGTGCATGCAGGATGACTGACCAGCGTTTTGACTGCCACAAAATTACATCGCGTTAAGTGAAATATCTAATTTAAAAGGGGGACGCGGTGACGGGCGCTTGTCACGCAAATTGACAACGCGTGACAAAAGTTATTAGAAGTCAAGCGTGTAACGACGTTAAATGATTTACCATTTGCGGGGGAAATCTGATCAGATAGCACGTAACAACCTTGCCGAGTAATCTGATTGCGTGAATCCATTCGTTGGGGGATTTTATAATACGGTACTTTTGTTGTTCGCGTTTAAATCACTGACATAATTGGCGAAAGCAACCCTTTCGAAACTAAAAGTCATCGTTATGCCCTGTTAAATTCACGAATTCGATCATTTTAGCTCGCGAAACTGTGTATCGTTATTTACGCGATAATCGATGTAAAGATATCTTACTACTAGAAACGTAGGTACCAGCTAATTACTTTAGATACACTTGAGTGACGTATAATTTTACCAAAAGTTTCGTAACAAAGGTTTAATAACAAAGTGCCAACAATTTAACTTCATCGTCGAAACCCACTTTCAACTCTTAGTTATGATCGTCGATAGACTGCTGATAAATGGATAAACTCATTATTGTTTAGAATTACATACCGCGCATATTTATCGGTAACGAGCGAGTACCGTTAAAGTTTGGACATGTTTGGAGCATCAGTCACTCTTATAATGGATCGAACGGAGAAACATAGAGTGTACGTTAAGTTTTGAGTTAAAAATAGAGAAAGAGTTTTCAATCGCCCCTCATACTTTTACACGCATCCTGTAACGGTTTAGCTTCGGGTATTTGTCGAATAAACCTTTCGACTCCCAGTTTGCCAAAGTCGAAGTGCTTTATCGACGAGAAAAAGACAGCAGCCGCGGCTGGAAAGATGGGTCAAGCACAATATTATCTCTGGAAACACAGTGATAGAGTCTACCGTCCTTTTGCTCGACTAGAAAGCCTCTAACGGTTGAGATGGTTACCGGATGGCCACTTTTGACTCGACGTCGCGTACGACATTAAAGCTTCTTTCCTTTTGTCCATCGATTGATCGAACTTGCGGTTGTTTTGATGTACGGTCGAAAGCCTCGATAAGAAAGGGATCGAGGAATCAAAAAGAGCTTTAATCGAAGCACGAAACACACAAGAAGGGACCAGAGATACAAGGATAATAATTCCGTTGTGTAAACGTTACATCTTGGATAATATTAAGCGAACATTTGATATGATAACTGAAACATCCTCGAAACGCAGTTCTATTAGATATTTGAGGTGATATTTTTTGGGTGTTAATTGGGTTCCACGGTAATCGATCCGTACGTGGCAACTGCTCTACGAACATACGCGCAGGTAATTGAAAGGTATCTGGCAACGCAAGCCATTCAAATATATTGTTCCGCATCCAGGCTAATTAATAGAGTTTACTTTATGTAGCTAATTAATTTGGACAATTCGCGTTCGCAATGAACGGTAGCTTTAATTATATGCGAGATGACGTTATACGAGATGATAAATAACGACAAAGGACATTGTCTAGGAAAAAGTTATTACGCTTTTTCCCGTTGTATAAGGATTTAAAATTCGTTCCGTTTTTATTCTGATATTAATTCTTCGCAATCCAGAGGGAAATAATTTTTAGTAGAAAAATATCAAGATATTTAACGCTGGAGAATATTCTCGTTGAATTACACTGGCACGTGTACGACATTATGTAACTGCGTGACTTGGTCGTTTGTTTTAGGAAGCACCGCGCACTATTCGCGAACGGGAGAAAATTAGAATGCCAAGTAAACAATGCGCGTTGCTCTATAACAGACGCCGTGAAATTACGCGGCTTCTGTGTTTTGCACCTGTGTCTGGGTTTCGCATTCGCCGTACGAGTTTGATAAGCACGCCTTAACCCTGACACACCGAAGATAGAATCACTTACCCTCGGTTCATCCCTTAACGTCTTATGGTGCGATTCGCTGCTGGAGAGAGACCTCTTGTGAAGTCGTTTGTCAGCGAAGAGGAAGTACTCCTTCAGTGCTCCAATCTGCAAATAAACAGAAACTCCTGTTAATTTCTCACTTGCTTGGTAGATTAACAATTTTCCGTGTTTCACGGATCGATTGTCAACGCGTTTCTTGACCGATCGACGAGTAATTTGTTCGTGTTTATCGCGTTGATCGCCACGAAATGAATTTTGATGACATATTATAATAAATACTACGATTTAGTCCTAGCAGAATGTCTCTAAATTAATTACGTGAATCGAAATCGAAAACCGAAATATTACACGAAGCTAATCGATGGGAAAATTGTTCGCCTTGTTAATAAAGAAAAACAAGAGGGCGAGCCACGTTTCGCTGAACCGTGGCAATGCCATAAACACCCTCAGACGACACTTGGACGACATTCGCATTCAATTCCTGGAATTTTCTGCCCATAATTCTTCGAATCCACGACTTTGCAATCTCGTAAAGGAACAGAATGCCTTCGCCAAGCGATCTCCGCCAATTCGTGCCCTCAAACCTCGGCTACCAATCGTATTCTTTGTCTTTGTGTCTTCAGGCACGTTAGACGAGAAACGATACAGTATCGGGATCGAAAAATATCAATTTTCTGTGACACGTAATATCCCAAGTGCGCATTGCGTTTCTTAATGGATCCTAATGGGACCTCTGAAGGACCTTACAGTTTGTTTGTGACTTTCACATGGAGTGGAATGAAGTCGAATATCATTCGAGAAAGCACTTTAAAAGGTATATCGGTTCTTTTCAGTAGTGGTTTCTCGATATTATTGACCGCGAAGGGAAAGACAACAATGAAAACGTCTTGCGTCAACATTGATATTCCTCGACAAGTGTCTATCGTATTCGAAACGTTGTTAGTCAAGGACATTCCTCTTTATGTCGAGGTTTGAGTGCTTCTTTTGTAGCGCGTCATATTTACTCGACCAGCAATATTCGAAGAACCAAAGATCACATCGGGATCCAATAAGAAGTTTTATAAATATCCAGTTTAATTCTAAAGCAAACTCGATCGTAAAACACAGACGATTCTGCGTATTGTTTACACACATGGCGATCTAATCCACGCGAAACAGCTTGACTTTCCGATAATATCAATTTATGTTTTTCCACGCTGGAAAGGATTATTCATTTATGCATACGAAAACCTGGCAGATTAGATAAAAATTTTTATAAATCGAAGCGCTACGAATTTTTATGTGAACAACAATTTTAACTCAATTGAACGCTGACGAACCTTTTCCAAATTCGATTACGTACGCCAGCGGATATCTGCATACTAATGTGAATTACACATGAATGTTCCGACAGAATTTATCTGCGCGTATTTTCGCTCGTCGAGATATTTTCAGAACTGATATCTGACAGATGTCAAAAACATAACCGCTAAAACTGCTTTAAATAGCGACTTCTAAATCCGTTAAACTGTATCTAATTTCGTGTCTGACTATTATCGTTCGTTCGACGCTTGCTTTTAAAGACATTTATATTTCTTAAACATATATACCGTTCTTCCAGGAAATAGTTCACGATCGGAAGAACCGAATGTCGACCTGTCAGAAGCCACGGAACAAATATGACGATATTGGCATCTATCAGAAGATCAGGATAGCTCGCTGCGACCTTTTCGTGGCGCATCCAACGAACGTGACGCGTCTCTTCCTGCGGTCGTAGTTCAACCTTTTCGATACTACTGGCAACTATAGTCGTCCCTCATTGCTCGCTTTATCCTACAGGGAAATTCATTCGTCGCGGATGTTTCTTCTATCGATGACTAATTCAGTACCTATTTTTACACCTATCCACAAGTTGAATATACAGTCCAACTGTATCAGTTCTTCGTGTACAGCTTGATGAAGAGCCGTAATACTCCAAGTTCTGCAGGCATTTTTCTATACGATATTCCGTTTTTTTGCAAACAAACAGTTAAAATTCAGAAACTCCAGTATTTTATCACAAGGACGTTTATTCTTAACCTTTTCGCGGTTTGGTAGGTCTCTGCTCGTTGGAAGACGAAGCCGTTATACGTTTTTGTGCAGTCTTATCGATCCCGAGGCGGACTCGAGTAAAAACGTAACCCAATACACCGTGACCGTTGGAAGTTGTTGAGCTTGATTTCCCAAAGTACAACGGGAATCCGTTTCACGAACGAACGGAGCCTCGAGGTGCGCCGATATTGTTTTCAGTCCGACGTTGATTTAAGGCACTTCGGACGTGGGCTTCCGTCGAATCTCTAAATCCGGGCTGTGGCTTTTCGGCGACAAGCTGCGTCGCTTCTGCGACCACCCACGCCTCGACGAACAGGTAATCTCGGGAGGATATTCGCGCGAGCGGAAGACGCGCGTTGAAAGAACGGAAGTGGAACGGCGAAAGCGGATGGAAGACGCGGGATAAAGTGACGCGAGGAAAATTGCGAAGAAACAGAGAGCTTGATGTGGAAAATACGAAAAAATCTTACAAGGGTGTCGTTAACCCTTAAGATCTGATCGTAAAAAGGGAGTCAGTTAGCGAGAAAGGAACGACGTGGGTGTAAGAGAAGAAGATAGACGGATAGGGGTAGTTTATCACCGAAAACTGAAACAACCTTTGCAACGTGTCTAAGTCTCGCGCGAAGATCTCGCTGTATAGTCGACTGGGGGTGGAAAACGAGTCCAAGTGCCGAGTGCAAAGTATAGGCGCATACCGGACCAGATAAAGGGTAAGTTATCACAGCAAGTTGGGAGGGGAGTCACTAAATCAAACCAGCCAAGAATGCCTTACGATAACCTCCGCATACCATGGGTCATCGGTCTGTTGGTTAGCGAGCGTCCTCCGCTTAGACGCTTTACCTGCATTATCGTTCTGGGGCAGGACCAAATTAAGGTAATACGAGGCCCACAATGGCCTGGAGTTTAAGGCGAGGGTGGGAACGGAATTTGCGTTAAGCACTGTACACTTAAGCGCGATGTCATAAGGCGGTTGGACGTTCTCGGTGAAATTCGTGGACAAGAGGAGCACGTGGCTCGAGAAAGTAATCGGGCACTTGCGATCGAAAACGTTACGGCGAACAATTAATGCATCGTAACATTTTCAAAGATTGAGGAGTGTAGTTTTTACCTTCTATCAGAACTGAAAGGTGCAAGACAATGCTCGGCCACACGGTGATTCGAAAAACTCTGACGTTGGGAAGTAATTAATCATCCCGATATGGTACCATCTGGTTCCATCGTTAGAAGACTTTTTAGACTTTAAAAAATTCAGTTGAGTTCGTCTTGGTCTCTGTAGAATTCGAACACGAGAATGGGTTAACCATCCATGAGTAACGTCGTTTCTTCTACGTTAAATCCAAACAAATCAATTCTTTTTATTTTCAATCAATCATGTAATCGCTCTCGTTAGTCAACAGCCTTTTGCCATCCAATGTGTAAACTTTCAATGCCAAAGTATCACTTGAAACGACATTACTTTTGAGTTTCACCTAAAACAATGCTTAAGGCGGCATACCCAATATGGGTTTGAACGGTGAAACGTTCTTTATTCGATTATTCTGCCCTAGGATTACATTTCGCCTTGTGCTGCGTAACGCGGCATTGTTTTGGGACAACCACTTAGTCATCGTTTCGCGTTTAATTCGAAACCGCGATCGTCGGTTTTGCTCTCCGCAATGCCGAACACGTAGTACCGATATCATGGTCTCACCCTCTTCGCCAAACCGGATATAGGCAACGGATGCCCAACATTCGCGTTTCTCCAACCGCGTAGCCGGATACATCGAGAAACGAGGAGCGTGCTGACTATCGAGAATAAAACCGTACCTCCGCGTTGATCGGTAAACCATCCCCTGTTGCGCGCGAAAACACGAACCCCACGATCCACCATAAAGGTAGGTCTACACTTGTAACGTAACGGCAAACAGAACGCGCTTGTAAACTCTCGTTCGCTGCAACTCTTATTTTCTTGTTCGCTTCAGCTCTTACTCTCTGACTCTCTTGCTCTCTTCCAATCGATATTCGCAAAACTACCCCATACGTACTACGTATTTTAACCGTTCAATCGGTTACTAGTATCAATTACTGATCACCTTATACACAAATTTCAATTAATACTTCGAGTAACAAAGTTTCCACGTTCTATAAATTGACTTTTTAACGCTCGATTTAAATCGTTTAGTGCCTTTTCGTGTAACCTGTACAGCTCTCTGTTAATGGTAACGATTTATAAGCGTACACCAGCTGTAACAATGAACGCATCGGGCGATGAACGCTAACTGTCCGCGGTATTGTTCTTTCGAAGAGGCACTCGTGATAGGTCACTTCTGTCGATACGGGGGCACACAACCACAAAGCTTGTCGCCAAAAGTAAAAGCATCAACGCGACAGATTCGATATCGAGCGGGATAATGATCGTTCGAACGACAGCGGTGAATCAGTAATCAATGTGCTCCGGAACCGTTTCAAAGAATCGCACGCGAAACACCGTATTTTTTCTTTGTTATCTGTTCGCTTCTTAAATTGAGGGCACGGTTGATCGCGATCACCGTCACTGGAAAGTGACGTGTTCGGTATTCAAAGGCAAATTTTCCACTCTTTGAATTTCAATGGCATTATTTGAATATCGACCGACTTATTTCGGCATTAAAAAATGTATACACCGAGTAAAGTCTCCTACAATGAACGTGTAGACACCGTTCCTTAATTAATATAATAATAATTGGATTTCCAATTTAAGTGACAGCATAAGACGATCACGTTCATTCGCGTTCGTTACGTAGTAACGATGCTCATACTGTTAACACGGCACAAAGACCGGGGAGCTTACTTTATAACGAGTTAATGCATTTTTCGCGGCGCTTATTAACGTGGATGGCATTATAGCGTGCCGTGGCCGTAAGAAGCTTAATATCCATAACGAGAACATTTTTGTACACGCAAAAGGCTGATACGAGTTAAATTATCGCTCATAAATACTGATATCCGTGAGTAAATAATATCGTAAATAATTATTTGCAGTCCGTTTTACCGCGGGGCGATCGTCTCTGCGTCGT